TGGAAGAGCAGTCAGTGCTCTTAACCACTGAGCCATCTCTCCAGCCCCACAACTGTTTTTTATTAATAACATTTTCTCAGTGTTTGATTTTTATATGTTTATGTGCTATTGATACAATTTAAAAATAACTTTAAAATATACAAACAACTAATTCATTAAATCTTTAAATATCTGGATATTCTTCATCTCTATTTTTCCCCCTGGTGTCATGAGTCCCATTACATGTCGGCTCAGTCCTGACTGTCACACTGCTGAACCCAGTATTCAGCCTTCAATTTGTAATTACTGACTTGGCAGACATGGTCATGCTGTCATAAAAATGCACACTTCAACCTGCTTCCTCTTCTCTTTCCATTCTCTTTCTCTGTGCTTATCTCATGTAATGGGAACAAAATCTACACCAGTTCATTGGTTGACAGGCTACAATAGTGATGTCATCTCTGAGTTCTTGTTTGTCCTCTGATACCTAGGTCTAGAAGCAGGTAGATCTATATATTCTTATAATTTAAATGCCATGAAGGCAAAAATTTTTGTATTTTTCATCAGTAGAATATCTAGGAAGTTACCTGGCTTACAACACAGTAGATGCTTAGTAAATGTTTGCTGAATGGTAAAATAACCAAAGGAAGTTAGCTTAGATTGCTCTTTCAGTTGGGAAATTTGGAGTAATATTTAACTGCACAGAAGTGATAGACTACATTAATGTAAACCTATCGTAAATGAAAAGCATCCAGTAGATGTCTGTCTGTCTGTGAGATGGTCTTAAATTAGCCGGTGTACTCTAGAACTCACTGTGTAACCTAAGCTCCTAGCAGTCCTCCTGCCTCAGCCTTTTGAGATGTTTTTGGTTTTATTTTTCTCATTGTATGTCTCAAACCATTCCTGTCCTAACCATGTCTGTGTCCTGATGCCATGTTTTTATTCTCCTTTCTTAATGTGTAGCACCTGTTGATTTATGAACAAAGTACTACCTAACTTGTTAACTCTGCATGTGTAAGACTGTGTTTATTAGCCATAGCCATATCTTTTTATGAGCTCTATTTTAGTCCACTTTTTGATAAGTTTTATTTTTAAGATTTTATTTATTAGTACAGTGCTCTGGCTGCATGTACACCTGCAGGCCAGAAGAGGACACCAGATCTCATTACAGATGTTTGTGAGCCACCATGTGGTTACTAGGAATTGAACTTAGGACCTATGGAAGAGTAGCCAGTGCTCTTAGCCTCTGAGCCATCTCTCTAGCCCTTTTCTGATAGGTTTTTGTTTCCATAGAAAAGATACTAACCTTTATTCATGATCTTGGTATTGATGAGATTTTGTTTAGTAAAATATAGAAAACCCCAGTGATAAAAACAAAGTTCATAATTTAGGCAGCACTAAAATTGGCAGTTTCTCCTATTAGGAGCCACTGTGTACTGGTAGATCTGTACTCTGTTGGCTGAGACAGGTTTGCCTGGGCCCAACCTGTAGAGCCCAGCTTTTGCCACACAGCACAGCAAAGTCTCCAGGGTGAAAGGCAGCCCCAGTGTTCACGCCCCTAACATTCTCATCTTCATGATGAGAGCGCTGGCTCTCTTGAAGATACTCATCATCCTCTGACTTGTGCTGCAAAGTTTCCATTCACATTTTAGCTTGTGTCTTCTAAACACGTTTTGTTTCTCTCCGAGTTTTCTATTTGTAAGCTCATTTCACTCGTGTGGCTGCTCTCCTCTGTTTGGTATGAGGCTGTGTAAGTGGTCATCCATGCTTTTCTCACGCCTTTAGTGTTTGTTTCCATTTCCACAGTTAAACCATGATCTGGCAGAGGAGATAACTGTGGCATACAAATATGTCCACATGTACTCTTTCTAACACCTGGAAACATTTTAAGATGTATATGTGTTTTGTTATTATCCAGCTCTGGTGAGGCCCATAGAGCTAGAGCTTGTTGCTGCTGAGAAGATAATTACTCAATGGCCCCAGAGAGAACAGACACAGCCTAATAGAAGCATGGAGTGGTTATTCAGGAGGCTCAGTTAGGGCAAGAGCTTTTGGAGTCTAAAAAGCTTTAGGATTAGCCAGTTTGAGTAATCTTCAGTGGATTCTTGGATGAGGAAACTAGAGGAATGCTGCTTCCTGGTGGGGGTAGCAACAGGGATGGCAGGATTTGTTAGCACATGAAAGTTGCCTTCCTTACTGTTGAGTTCTTTCTAAGTACTGGCCAGTTTGTGAGGGCAGTATCTCCCCACATCAGTGCAGCACCAAGATCCCAGAGTGTCTGTACAGGAAGATAAGGAGCCATGGTTTGTACAGAGGGTAGTTGTTACTGCAGTAATCAGAGTGAGAAGCTGAGATTGGAGAAATCAGGTAGCTCCCCAAGGTCACATATTTCATAGTATAGAAAACTAGAATTTAAGGTCAGATCTGTATTGCAAAGTCCAGGTACTTTTCAAGGTCATTTGTTAGTTAAAAGCAGTGTACAGCACCTAGTCATGGAACACAGTTATGCCAGGAAATACCTTTATATTTTCGTGATTTTTACTAAAACATTGTAATTGAGGGTTCCTGGAGAGATGACGGCTCATTGGTTTAGAACACTTGTTGCTCTTGCAGAGGACCCAGGTTTGCGTCTCTGTGTCTACATGCTGACTCCCAGCCATGTGTAGTCATGAACACAGTTCACATACATATGTGTACACAAAACTCACTCATGAAAATCAAATCCTTAAAAATGTGTGGTTTTAAACTTTCAGCAGATTTTGCCTGGCATACTCTGCACATCTTTAATCCCAGCACTCAGGAAGCAGACAGGTGATCTCTCTGAGTTTGAAGCCAGCCTGGTCTAGAATGAATTCCAAAATAGCTGGAGCTGCATGTGAGACCATGTCTCACAAACAAACAAACAACTAGATAAGTTTCTGCTCAGTGATAGATTGTGAGCATAAGAGCCTTGGTCCCTCAGCAGCTTCAGGGAGGGACAGCCCAGCACTGACCTGAGAAGGTGGTTCCTCATGGATTTCCACAGAAATGCGTTTTAGGACAAGTCAGAGTTAGTAAGTTTATTGAGTAGAGAGAAGATATAGTGCATACATGCTTTAGAATAGCAGTTCTCAGCGTGTGGGTCGTGACTCCTTTGGGGCCAAACAATTTTTACAGGAGTTGAATATCACATAGCCTATACATCAGATATTTACATTGTGATTCATAACACTAGCAAAACTAGTTATGAAGAAGCAACAAAAATACTTTTATGGTTGGGGATCACCACAGTAAATATGAGGAACTGTATTAAAGAATCACAACATGAGGAAGGGTTGAGAACCAATGCTTTATAGTTAAGCACTGGTGGTAAGAGAAAGATGGGCAGGAAAATCACAACACGCTCTCAAGGTGTGGATGTGGGCTTCTTCAGGGTTACATGTAGATAGCCTTTTGATGGTTGCTTACGAGTTTGTGGCAAGTTACATTATTTGACAGATGTAATCTAGAAGAGTTTAAGATGAAGCAGAGTTGCAAAATTTGCTCAGGTTTAATTAGTAAAACAAAACTGAACTGGCTTAGTTATTTCTCTTATTTTAAAGAATATGCTTCTCTGAGTTTGAGACTAATGTGGTTTTCATTGCAAGTTCTAGGCCAGCCAGAGCTACATGGTAAGACCCTGCCTTTAAAACCAAAATGAAATCTTAAAAGTAATTTTTCAGGTACTTTTTTTTAGACTTAAGGCTGACAGGAGAGTGCTAATACAGATAAATTCAAGGTCACAAACATTGTGTCCAAAATATGCAAAGTTTTAAACATCTTTCTTTGAGATGTTAGAAAGACAAGTGTCTGTAGGCAGTGCTGCTTTAGTAGTTGTACTAAGTTTCTGTACTCTCAGACAGTATGGGGTGCAAACTAGACTTCAGGGCTAAGCAGCCAATCACATACCTGAGTGCTTCGAATGGAGTAGATTGCATATTCAAGTGAGTGGATAAGATGGGCCTCACAGTGAAGGGAAGATTTGGATCAAAGCAGAAGGGAAAGTAGTAGACATCTGAGGGAAGAGCCTTTAATCTATAGGTGTCACTGGAGTGTTTCGGCTACACTAAGGGAACCTTTTCTATGTGTATTCTTGTCTGTTCTGGAACTCACTGTAGACCAGGCTGGCCTCAGACTCAGAAATCTGCCTGCTTCTGCTTAAAGGTGTGCAGTACCGCCACCCAGCTCCCAAGGGATCTTTTTATAGCTAGATTAGGCTCAGGAGGGATGCTAAGGGGAAGCCCAGGATCCTGGTAGGGCTAAGTGATAGAGGGACCTTAGAGATATCTGATGTTAGAAGGAGTGTATGTCTCGTGTCTGTCTGTCTTCAGTAAAGTGGGAAAAAGAGTGCCATGCTATGACTTCTAAACGCTTCTGATTGCTGAGCTGAGTCAGAGGCTGCCATTGTTTCCCCAGCTGAGACAAACAGTGGTAGTGAAGTTGCTGAGTCATCAGGTCTCATTTCTGGAACCACTAAGAAATCAGAGGTTAAAGAGTTGCATACAGATGTACATGCTAAATGTTTATTTAGTTCTTTTAGATACAAGTTTCTTGTATAACTGGATGGGAAAGTGCATGTTTAGGGGTCTCTGAGATGTAAGAGAGAACTGTTTTTACTTGTTTGGTTGGGTTTGGTTTTTTTTTTCTTATTTTTTGGGAAAATGTAGATCCTAAAGTAGAGGGCAGCTTCTTATATTCCTTCCAAATGCACACAACTGATAAAGCTTAGTTTCCAGGATAAAGTTTTTTATAAGTTAATTTTCTTAATGAATTGTCTTTGTTTGCACAAGCTTTGCCGCAGGAAATCTACAGAGAATTGCCCAAAGGTAAAACATATTATTGCCATGACATTCTCATAATCTTTTACAGAGTGAATGTATGTAATTAAAATTTGCTCTACAATTGGCAAGATAATAGACTAATTACTGTGTTTTAAATGTATAGTGGTTTCTCTGGGGAATAAAGAAATAAATGTCAGAATAATGCAAGGTTGTGAGGGAGATGATGTTCAGTGATAAAGCTTTTGAGTCCCCAGGTTTAATCTACAACACACACACACACACGCACGCACGCTAACAGATTTCAGTTAAGTCTGTCAAAGCTTTGTGTGTGTAGTGTGTTATGTGTATGTGTGTGATACATGTACATGAGTGTACAGTTGCTCACACATGTAGGGGGCCATATTGGATGTCTTCCTTTGCCATTTGCATTTTAGTGCCTTGAGACAGAGCCTTCCACTGAACCAGAAGCTCACTGGCTAGCAAGCTTTCCTGGTCTGTCTCTCTCCACCCCTTACAGGGGTGTGTGTAACCCTTCCCACTACTTACGTGAGTGCTTCCAGAAAAAAAATACCTGTACCCTCCTAGCTCTCTAACGCCTGTTGAACATTTTTTGTTTTAAATTAAAATTTTTTTAATTATAGTTGTGTGTATGATGTGTGTTCATGCATGCAGGCACACATGCATGTTAACTTTGAAAGTCAGTTCTCCTTCCAACATGGATTCTAGGGATGGAGCTCAGGATGTTGGCTTAAACAAGCACATTTTAACCTCTTGAGCCTTCTTGCTGCCCCTTTGGCCAGAAATTTAAAAAATAAAAAAAGTGTGTGTGTGTGTGTCTGTGTGTGTGTGTTCCCATAGAGTCCAGAAAAGGGCATCAGATCTTTTGAGCTAGAGTTGTAAGTACTTGTGAGCCATTGAGGTAGGTGCTGGGAACCTCTGAAAGAGCAGTCAGAGCTCTTAAAAAGGAATCGTCTTTCCAGTCTGTTGTTGTTCCCCTCAACCCCCACCCCCTTTTTGAGATAGGATCTCTCTTCATGTAATCCTGGCTATCCTAGTATGTAGACCAGGATACATGCCAAGTGCCTCAAACTCATAGAGATTCTCCTGCCTCTGCTTCCTAAGTGCTGGCATTAAAGGTATGTGCTACCATACCCAGTCCATTAAATAGTTTTTAAACTAAACAGGGCAACCTCTTGTGAAAGCCTAGTAGACCTGCCTATACAATTTTTGAGACAGTCTCATGTGTCCCAAGATGACCTTGAATTTACTGTGTAGTCAGAGATGACCTCTGGTCCTCCTGCGTCTTATTCTTGAGTACTGGAATTACAGGATGCACTACCATGCCTAGTCTCTTGTCATGCTAGGGACTGAACCTAGGACTTCATGCATACTAGGCAAGTATTTTTCTAACTGAACTACACCCCTAGCCCCTTTATGGTTTTATTTTAAGAGCAAACATTCGAAGGCTTCTTCCTAGCCATATTTCTGTAAGAAGGAATGACAGAAACTGTTCATTCTTCAATACCTTATGGCAACTCTTACAAATGACAGTTACCTACAAAGACTCCCAAGAAAAGGAAACAAGGATGGGAAGGAGGGCATCAGCACATCTAAAAACATGGGCAGCTTGGAGGAGAGACACACAGATGTAGAACTGAATATGTCACATCCCGCTTGTTTTTAGAGCATATATAATTAAGCAAATGAAAGTAGCCATGTTCCTCTGGATGTTGAGAAAAATCTGAATATGTTTATGGGTTATCAAAGAAAATTGCTAGGGAGAAGAGTCCATCCTCTCATTTTATGGCTGAATTGCTGCGATTATTAGATGTTTAATGACTTTAAATTATTCATTTATTTATTATGTGTATGGGTGGGTATTTGCCTGCCTTTATATCTGTGTACCACGTAGTACATGCCTGGTGCCCCCAGAGGTCAGAAGAGGGTGTTGGGTCTCTTAGGACTGGAGTTGCAGACAGTGGAAGATGCCTGTGGTGCTGGGAAGAATAGTCAGTGCCCTGAGCTGTCTCTCCACCCCCTAGGGACAGTTTCTAAATTACTGGAATGTTTATGGGCTCAGCTCAGCCTGCTATGATAGACCCATCATTTGCTTCTGTAGTCATTGCTTCAGAATACATGGTCTTATTTTATTACTCTTCATGTATGACTTTTTTTTTTTTTTTGGCAGATTCAATCGTTATGAAGAACCAGAATAAGTTGCATTTTAGAGATTCAGTATCCTTAAAATTAACCCTTCTGTCTTCTTTCCTCAGAATGAACGAACAGTTTCAAATTTCCACAGCGCAAAGTTCCACGTCCTGTTCCTTTTCTTTGTGTCTGCAATGTTTTTCATCAGTGTGCTCTCACTATTTAGCTACCATTGCTGGCTGGTTGGAAAAAATAGAACAACAATAGGTAAATAGACTAAAGTATATGTTTTTTAAAAAATGACTACAAATGAATGTAAAATGTATATTGTAGTAGGTGATAAAGAAATGAAGAATAACTGTGTTTAAATGTGACTGTGTTGGGTACAGTGTTGTGTTAGACTGGTGTTGAAGAGGATTGCAGAAGCGACTGTATGTATATAACTTCAGTAATATATAGCAAAATTTATCATTTATACATTATAAATAAAAGCTATTATTCTGAATGATAGATTCTCATGCTTTTAAGGTAGTTCACTCTCAAACCCAAATCATTTTAAATCCTTCAGTTTATCTTCTTGCTAAGACAGAACAGCATACTCCTGTGTATTCTTGACCCCCACAGACACACAACCTGACTGGCATATTTTCTAAAGGTTGCTGCTTAGGAAATGTTGACTTAGAGTTTCTATTGCTGTAAAGAGACACCATGAGCACAGCAACTTTTATAGAGGAAAACATGAAATTGGGGCTATCTTACAGTTGAGAGGTTTAGTTCATTATTTTTGTAGCAGGAAACATGGCAGCACGTAGGCAGACATAGCCGAGAATTCTATGCCTGATTTGGAAGAGAGAGTGACACTGGGCCTACCGGAGCTTCTGAAACCTTAATAAAATTAAAAGAAAAACAGAATTCATTTCAGAATTAACAAAGGCCCATTTTCCTAACTGGTATTGACCACCTAGGTCTAAGAAGCAGCTAGTTATCACAGATGGGATTCAAATACTTTAATCTGTTCCTCATGAAGCTTGTTTCTTCTGCTTGAAGTCTGAACCCTTGTATATAAGAGAGTAGCAGAGCAACTCAGCTGGGTCAGTTTAAAGGAAGCATAGTCAGGATTGGGCTTTTCACTGTTTTTCGAGGTCTCAGTCCTGGTTCACCTCCTGTGCTGTGTGCTGTGGGGAATCCATGTGCTGTGGTAGGAGCATGCGGTGCAACAAAACTGCTGACCCACCGACAGCCAAGGAGAGAAGGCAAGGGCAAGAGGACCCTTCAGGTCCCATTCAGGTCCCAGTAAGTTCTTTAAGGACCTTACCCTTCCTTCCATGACTTACTTCCTCTTACAAGGCTTCACCTCTTAAAGTTTTCACCACCTTCAAGTGATGCCATCAGCTTGCAGCTAACCCTTGAGCACATGTCTTAGACAGTTGAGCTTCAGACCATAGCATGTGTTTCTAGGCACACTGCTGTTGTCCTTAAATAATGTTTTCCATAGTTTTTTACTAGTGAAAAACCCAGTTTATGTCATGAGTTAGCCTGTGTGCATATACTTCCAAAATTATAGAAATAAGCACTATTTCAAAGAGTATCACTAATTCCAATCCAATGTAATATAATCTGATATTTTTGTATAGTCTAGTTCAGCCACAGTGAGATCAAGGCTAGCCTAAGACTGTCAGAAACAAAAGGCTAAGACCTCACTGAGGGTGGAAACAGTGGTGGGAAGGTCAGTCGGCCTCCTCAGCTGTTTTCCTTATTAATCTAGATTTTCTTTTGGGAGGGGAGGCAGGGTTGGTTTTTCGAGACTGGGTTTCTCTTTGTAGCCATGGTTGTCCTGAAACTCGCTCTGTAGACCAGGCTGGCTTGAAAATCAGAGATCCACCTGCCTCTGCCTCCCAAGTGCTGGGATTTAAAAAGGCGTGCACTACACCTGGCCCTGATTTTCTCCATTCTATTCTTACTATTTTGAGTCCTTCAGAGAAAAATGTTGAGAAGCCACAAGCAATCTCCCATCTTCTCACCTTTCCTGCCTTTTACACATGTCTCTTTTCCCTCCCGTGTGTGTCAGCCTGCCTGCAAGATTTATCTTAGAACTCTGCCTGAGACTCTAGGTTGCCTCTGCTTTTATTAGCTTTTCTGTACTGTCAGTCTGGCTCCATCCTGTCAGCCCGTAAGATGCTGAAGGGCTTTGTCTTTAAAAACAAAGGAAAACTTTTCTTGTGATGTCTGTATTTGTCTAGACCTCACTCTAGATCTCTCTACACTAAAGATTGAAGCAGTGGTCTGTAATCTCCCTCTTTTGTCTCATTGTCCAAGCATCCTGAGCTCTGTTCCTCCCATCCTCACCTACCCTACCCTTACCCCAAGACACACAGTCTGTGTCCTACAAGATTAGCTGCCTTTACTCTGTACTCACAAGGGCACAGGACTCTCACCACTTAGTAAATGTAGGTTTTCCTAGACTAGATTTGTAGAAATTCTACCTAATTTTTCCTTTTGGATCCTAGTACCTATGTTGTTAAGAGTATATAGGAAGTTCACTAATAAAGAGTGTACGAGTTCCCATTCTCCCACTGCCTCTCCTGCACCTCCATCAGACTCCTGAATCATACTGACAGGAGCATGTTGTCCTCTGAGAAGCTCCACCCAGCAGCTGACTCAGACAGATACAGACACCCACAGCCAAACAGTGGATGGAGCTAGGGGACTCTTATGGAAGAATAGAAGGAAGGATTGCAGCCTAAAGAGGATGGGAACTCCACAGGAAGACCAACAGAATGAACTAACCTGGACCCTAGGGGCTCTCAGTCTGAACTACCAACCAAAGAACATATCATATTTACTCATATGTAGCAGATATACAGCTTGACCTTCATGTGGGTCCTCAGCAACTGAACTGGAATGGGGTCTCTCCCAAAAGCTGTTGCCTGTACATGGGATATGTTCTTCTAGCTGGGCTACCTTGTCCGGCCTCAGTGAGAGAAGAAGCACCCAGATCATAGAGACTTGAAGTGCCAGGGTGGGGGAGATATCCAGCCCCCCTCCCACTCAGAGTAGAAGAGTGGGTAAGGATTGTGGGAGGGGTCACTGGGAGGGGGCAGTGAGTGGGATATAAAGTGAATAAGTAAAAGAAAAAAATTAATAAAGTGAACAAGTTCCAGTGCCTTAAAGATAAATTGAAATACAATAAATCAAGTCAAGTAGAATATCTTTATTAAAGGCTAGGTATCTAGCTCAGTGGGAGAGGACTGGACTAGCATGTGCAAGGGCTCAGTTTCTAGCACCACAAAATAGAATAAATCAAAAGTATAATGTTCAAATACTGCTTTTTTTCAAATAGAATATGGATGGGCATGGCAGCCCACACCTTTAATCTCAGCACTTGGGAGGCAGAAGCAGGTAGATTTTTGTAGGTTCAAGGTCAGTTTAGTCTACATAGTAGGTTCTAAGATAGCCAGAGCTACACAGGGAGACCCTGGTTATTTATTTATTATTTATTTATTTCTTATTTATAAACAAATAAATGTAATACTAGGTAATTATTTGAGCCTTTCATTTTGGAGGGTTGAAATTAAAATATACTTTCATCAAGTAAGTCAAATTTATCTTTTTTTAAAGTAGATTTTACTTTAATTAACATAATTGTATATATGCTGAGATGTCTAGAATGTAACAATCAAAACAGGATAATCTGAACAGTTGTCATCTCAGATGCTTATCATTCCTTGTTACCTCCTGTTACCATTATGTTTATAGCTGTCTATGTGAAAAACATTGGCAAAAAATTAATATTTCTCATTTCCTTCATAGTTTTTAAATACACAAGATTTATTCATGTATGTATACATGCTTGTGGCTTTTCTTTTGTTTTTTGTAAACAGAATCATTTCGTGCACCTACATTTTCTTATGGAATAGATGGAAATGGTTTCTCTCTTGGATGCAGTAAAAATTGGAGGCAAGTCTTTGGTGATGAAAAGAAATATTGGCTAGTTCCAATATTTTCAAGGTAAGTTACAAAATGTAGGGGTCAGTAGTAGTCTCTGCCTCTGGCTAAATATCTTAAATATACATAAAATGATATATTTGCTTTTTTAAAAATTAGGTACAGTAAGTATACATTTGAATGGAGAGTAGAAAAATAAAAATAACTTTTAAAAGCTCTTAAAAATAAAATTAAATCACTTTTAGGAACATAAAAATATTTTCATAGATTACAGAACAGAAATAAAGTGTGTGTAGGTGTTCTCTTTCTTATTTCTCTCTTTTTTAAAAATATTTGTTTTATGTATATTGTATACATACTCTCTCTGGCATGCGTGCCAGAAGGAGGGCACCAGATCTCAATACAGATGGTTATGAGCCACTATGTGGTTGCTGGGAATTTAACTCAGGACCTCTGGGAAGAATGCTCTAATGCTGTTAACTGCAGAGCCATCTCTCCAGACTCTTTTGTTTCTTTTTTTTTAATTTTTTAAAGAATGAAACAAGAGTCTCACTATGTTGCCCTGGCTGTCCTGGAACTCACAAGGATATACTGGTTGCCTCCAGAAGGCTAGTAGAAAGGCATGTCCCACCACATCCAACATAGATTTGTTTTCCTAAAGTCTAAACACATAATGGGTTTTACCTGAGGTGTAAATGATACATGTACTAACCCTAATCCTAACTGTGAGACCTGTAGGTATGCTGGGTAGAGGCTCACACTGTAGGAGGAGTGTCATGAGTTTGACATTAGTCTGGGTTATATAATCATATAGTTAGACCCTGTCTCAAAAGGAGGTCGGGATTGTAGGGGCTTTTCTTTAGTTAAATTTCCATTTTCTATCTGAAAATGGCTTGCTTGCCTTCATTTTTATTTTTTATGTTTCCTGGTGTAGACCTCTAGACGTCGCTTCTGGCTTGCCTTATTTTCTGCTGATGGGTGTAATCACCTTGTTTTGTTTTGTTTTAACTTCATATACCTTCTTCAGATACTTTTTAGACTTTTGTTAATCACAAAAACTTATTGTGATAAAATTTAATGTAGCTTTTTTTAGGTTTCTTTTGTTTGTGATTAGTTGAAGTTAGGGGTTTTTTTGGTTTTGGTTTTGGTTTGGGGTTTTTTTTTTTTTTTTGTCTGTTTTGTCTGTTTTTTAGTTTGTTTTTCCTTTAGCTTGTGGGGTTTTTTTTGGTTTTTTTTTGAGGCAGGGTCCCCTAGCCCAAACTAGTCTTGTCCTCTGATCTGCCCATTTGTCTCCCCAGTGTTAGGATTACAGCTGTGTACACATGCCCAGCTGGTTGAATCTGTCTCTGGCTTTGAAGTTCTCATCAGTACAGAACTGCTAGCAGTGTCTCTTCTGTCTCCTCCCCACTTTAAGGACTCTTCCTGGGCCCACCTGGAGCTGCTTCCCACAGCTCTATGATACTGTTTGCTGTTGCGTGTATGTGTGCGTGTATGTGTGTGTTTCACTTTCTGTAAACCTTGTTGCTGTATATTTAGGTTCACTCTTTGGGGTGTGCTTTATTGTCTCATGTTTCAACGAAGAGTTTCCTACTCCCATTGAATGAAATGCACACTGTCTGATTATTAGGATATTTTCTCTGATCAGTGAATTTATAATTGGAGTGGAGTTCTCCTTTTTGTTGTCAAATATCTTCTGAGATTGTATATGTGTGTATATATGTGCTGTGTGTGGTGTCTATGGGGGTCAGAACATAGTATCAGATCCCCCGGAACTGAAGTTATAGATAGTTGTGAGCTGCCATGTGGGTGCTAAGAATTGATCCGTGTGCTGTATAGGAGCAGCCAGTGCTCTTAACCAGCTCGAATTGTGATCTTAATCCACATTGAGGACATTGTTTTTAAGTACATTTGAGTTAAAAGAGAAAAGGCTGTCTTCAAGAAGTAACTTCTAAACTTAGAAATCTTGGGACTTGATCTCTGACTTGATAAGTTTTAGTAATTTATTTCTACCATAATCTTAAACTGGACCTTTGTTGTTAAGTGAGTACTAAGATAATTACCAATTTCTTATTGTACAGCTTGGGTGATGGTTGCAGTTTTCCAACTCGCCTTGTGGGAATGGATCCAGAACAAGCTTCTGTTGCAAACCAGAGTGAATACATCAGAAGGTGTGTTTCTTGTTCCTAAGATTTTCAATATTCATTATAAAACAATCTGATGTCTGTGTTCTACATGAATGATCCATACACAAACAGTAGCACTCCAGGAAGCAGACAGAAAAAGAAAAAAAATCTATTGATGTTCTTTTTTTAATGGAGGATTGATACATGTTAGGTGCCTGATATTTTTAGTATATAACTTCCTACAAGTGGAACACAAGTGGAACAGAGTATGTCAGTAGTTGGATCAGGACAGTCACGTGCAGCTTAGTATCTGGGAAAACCAGGAAGCCAGGAAATATAATGTGTCTTCATCCTAAGAAGTAAGATTCCCTTTTAAGACTTCATTATATTGGCTTATACCAAGTTGATTTTTTTTAAAGAAAATATTAAAAACCACTGTCATTATTCTAATAACCATTAATTTTGATAACTAGATTTTAATTACAACATCAGAATAACTAATGAGAATTTTGAAAATACAAATTTTTTCTTATTCAAAAGAAATTTTTTATCAAGAAAATTGATTCATCATAAATTCATATTTCAACACAAAAGGTGAAAGGAAAAAGAGAGCTTTAAGCTCCATACGATGTTGACATCAGCAGGCAGGCCTAATGCTTCACCAGAGCCTTCGGCCCTTCAGCTCCAGCATTTACTGTGGCTCTCAGTCACTCAACAAGTCTGTTTTTAGCTCTGGAAACCAAGGATAATGAGAGCTGTTTCCTTTCCTTGGATTTCTGACTTGGTGGAGATAGTGTATAAAGCACCAGTAGAGAGTCTGTCCCATAGCACCTGGTAATGCCTTTCCTCCTTTTCTGCCTCCATTCCCTTCTTCCCTGGTTTTCTTAGTTAGAAAAATGAGTCTACGATAAATCACTGAATCATTTTTTCCCCTTAGATCTAAACTGCAGAGGTAGAAAGCAGAACACTTGGGAGATGACAGGTAACTGACATAGTTCCTCACCTGTCCCTGTGCTACGACAGCTCCCGATTAACAAGTGTTAAAACCTTCCCGCCAGCTCCAAAGCTGTTTCTCAGTCTAACTGGTTTCTTTGACAGTGATGGAATATACACTTTTGGGCCTAGAGAGCCATTTTACTGGGGTGGGGGTGTGGGCATTTTTCTCCTGGAGAGAGCCTTTTCAGAGTGCTAAGATCTCATGAGTGGCCCTCACATATTTCAGAGAAGAAATACTAATTTGCTGCTTATTAATTATTAAGTATCCTTAATTGAGCATTAAACTATTCACTGAATTGTCTGCTCCTTTTTCAGTATTGGTTCAAATCAACCTTTTCCTATCAAACCACTTAGTGAATCAAAAAACCGTTTGTTGGACAATGAATCTCAGTGGCTAGAGAATGGAGCTGAAGAAGGAGTCACCAAATCAGGTAATAATTCTTAATCTGGTTCACAGGAAGATCACCAGATTAAACAAATACAGTAGAAAACCAAAATTGTGTGATATTTGAGATAACAGAACTTAGGAAACTGCTGAGCTGCACACCTGAGATACTGGTGTTTGTGGATAGATTTGTTAGGAAAGGGGGCAGGGCACAGTGGCTGCCTGTACTCTGCCCTCTGTTAGCCGGGCCATTTCCCAGCCACACGTTTCTGCACCAGTGTATAGAATATAGAAAGTTAGTTTGGCCTTGGCTAATTTGAATAGTATTTGAAGAACTTTTTTTAGTGTTCCAGTATATACTTAGTTCAAAGCAGTGTTTTTGTTTTGTTTTGGTTTGGTTTTGGTTTTTTTTGTTTTGTTTTGTTTTTCGAGACAGGGTTTCTCTGGATAGTCCTGGCTGTCCTGGAACTCACTCTGTAGACCAGGCTGGCCTCGAACTCAGAAATCCGCCTGCCTCTGCCTCCCAAGTGCTGGGATTAAATGCGTGCGCCACCACCGCCTGGCCAAAGCAGTGTTTGAAAAGCATTGTATCAACTAGGTATGATGGCACAAGCCTGTAATTCTAGTTCTTGGGAGGCTGAGGCATTAGAATCACAACTTCTCCACAAGTCCAAACTCCTTGTGAAACCTTTTCTGAGAGTGCAGGGAGCTTTGTAGTCTTTAAAGAATACTTTCAACAAGGCTTTAGCTTTTCTTACTGACTCAGTTTGTGAAGTGTGATGCAGTGTAGAATGGCTGCTCAGACTAAGTGGAATTTCTGGTCAGAACTGGGTTTGCAGTATCATCTGACCACTTTCCTCCCATCACAAGTCCAAATCCTGTCTCAGGCTATCTCAGGTGCTTCTTGATTCCAGTGGTTACATGGCTGTCAGTAATCTGCTTGCACTATAGGAAACAGTTTGAGATATTCAGATCAATTCAGTGAATCCAGGGAGTATCCTATGAACTGTCTGAATGCCTCTGATCCTTGTGTAGAGGACAGGGACTCACTAGAGCCTCAAGGAGCTTTTGTCCTTGGTGGCACACCCTTGTATCCCAGTACTCAGAAGCTGAACCTAAGGACTTCCATGATTTCGGACCAACTTGGGCCACACAGAACCTAGTATCAAAAACATCATATAAATGACTAAAGAGAATCTGTTAATAAGTGTCGTAGGGTCTCTAAGGTTAGTCAGTTCCTAGGTAAGGTAATGGGGAGAGGTGTTTCATGGACTTGTTAATTACAGCTGCTTAACATCTTGAACATGGGAGCATGTTCACACAGCAAGCATGAGAAAAGCTGATGAGCTGTTCCACGCTGTGCTTCCACCTGCATTCTACTTCTGTACACCCACGTGTTACTTTTAATGTAATGAGCTTCACCATTTACCTAGAAACTTAATACTCTTTTTTGTCTTATAACTAATTATATGTTTACAGGGACAAATAACCATGTTACAGTGGCAATAGAAAATTGAGTACTACTTGTTCATAACTAACCATTTGATGAGTGCAAGGTAAGATAATACAAAGGTAATTACCTTCAGTAAATGTAGTTTATTTGCATATTTCATCTCAAAACAATTTGTAATTTTTTCAACTATGTCACCCAAATCAAGCAGCTCTGTCCTATAACTCTGAATATGACTTCTGCCAGAATCTCATTTTCCTTACTACTTCTAACACACTGTTACTAACAATTTGTTAGTGGATTAATGGAAACACTAACTGATAATGAAAAAGGAGTGGTTTGCCATTATTTGAAGACATTTGATCAAGTGAAGGTTGATTAAAGGCTGACAACAGGCTTCTGGGTTTATTAATGATGGTTTGTAAGACATAGCAACAAAGCATTGTCTCAAACCTATGACCCAGAACAACACACACTGAGTGTGGCTTTCCTTCCTGCCTACTTTTATTTTTCCCAGAGGATCTCATCTCTGGTCTTCCAAGTGGAACATCTGTGCCCTCCACTCTGGGCTTATCCTGAGGTCAGGTCTTTGACGAGGACCCGGAGCCTGTGCAATGATACAGACAGGGCCCGAGGCCAAGGACCGAGGGAGATCCAGGCTCCAGAAATAGGGATTCCAAGTCTCATATCTAACAGAATAAGCTACACTATGAAGAGAAGCTTGTTTGCAGGGTCTGCATATTGGGCACACTCCCATCCATCCCAGGCACTTGAAGCTAAAGTTCCCAACCAGTGCTTCCAGCATCTGTACTGCTTGTGTAGTCAGAGAATCCCCAACTAAAGTTTCTCTAGTGGTAGACCAGCGTGAGGTGTCCAAGGGGCAGGCAGGGCGCACTGAGTGCAAGTAGACAGCTTGATTGTTCCCTCCTTCACTGTTAATAGAGTCTGTATTATTGTAGTAGAACTCAAGAATTTGATTCCTAGCTTGTTAATCCACAGGACCATTTATTAAATATCAAAGGAAATAGAAAAATTTACTTTCAACTAATAATTTAATTCTGTTTTTTGTAGGTATATAAAAAACACATTTTGGACTATTTTCAATTTTATTTGCAAGAAAATGATTGATGGAATGAAATAATTGAAGTATAACAGAAGATATATTTTTTAAAAGGAAGTGTTTGTACAGTTTGATGGATCCACAGAAGCACTACAGAGCAGAAAGATGCCTTAATTTTTAGTGTCCATGTGTTGTGTAACATTGCCTCACAGCTCAAAAGTGACTTAATTTTCCTTTGGAAATAACAATGCTATCGTCACATGTTAACATGCCATATGTATTTTTAACATCTGAGTTACAACATTAGAGTTATTTCTTAGTATCCACATTAGCTTTCACCCCCAAAACAAACTGAAAAGTTGTCTGTGGTGAAGTATACCTAGGGCAAATGGTGGCTAAAATGATACTCAAATCACTGATGAGTGTGCTGTATAAGGGAAAGAAATACTGCTTTTTTTTATTAGATGTTTACTAATTTATAATTACTGTTTTATATTTTTCAACGTTTTAATAAAGATTTTTTAATTATTGGCTATAAAATAACACTCAGAAGGATTCAGATACCTAAATATAATCATTTAGAACATTGAAGATATTAATATAATTCAGTGAAGGTTTAGTTAGAAACATTAATACTTCTAATTAGTACTTTTAAAAGCCAAGTGGCACAATGCCTATAATCCCAGCACTCAGAAGGCTGAGGTAAGATTGCTGTGAATTTGAGTCTAGCATTGGTTATGTAGGGATTGTATCCAAAACACAGAATAATACAACCATGTAGTGTAGTGTGAGCCCGAGGCTCAAAGGAAACATGGTAGGAAAGAAGTAGTTTGGTATTCTCTGCTTTTTAATTACTATTGAGTTTTCAGGGGAATTTTATATGGGCAGGGAAGCACAGCGGTTCACATGCTATGCAAAGACTTAACACATAGATGAATAGGTGGGCGTGGCTAAAAAAGAGAATGATAGAAGGAATATTATAAACAACTAAACAAATTTTCATCCCTAAAAGTGTACAAACTACAACATGCTACTGAATAAGCTTTCAGTTTAGGCAATGTCTAAAAATTACTGTGGTACTTTACAGTAATCCTATAACAGAGTAAACAGTGACTTAAAATGCAGTTCAGATGAGGATGAAATAAATAAATCAAAAACATGAATTCCCAGTCTTGGGCTGGAGAAATGTTTCAGTAGATAGGAATGTACAACCTGATCAGTCACATTCTGGAGGAAGATAACCGGCTGGCATTTACACGGCATTTACACTATGGTGCACACAGACTCTCTTTAAAAGATAGTATGTTTTCAGCATCTAGTGGCTTTAACAGGAATGGCTGTATTTAGGAGATTAGTCCACTGGTCTGTAAAAAGGCAATGTAGAGATGCTGTTCTTGGTTTATACCATTTATCAAAGAAACAAGCCCAAAATGATTGCTTCCAGTGGACCAGCAGAGTGAGATCTCGGATGTGCTGCTATCTGGGATGTGGCTATGCAGTGTCTTTGTGTGGACAATAAGATTGTGGAGGAGAGGGCACCCTGCATGAGTTGGACTACAGGACTCCCAACATTACCCAGTGTTGAAGGTTGCAAATAACCTTGCTTTTCATTTACCCACCAAGTAGCTCTCAAGTCCTCTGGATATCAAACATTATACTAAAGATAATGTTGTGATTTCCTAATCCTGCATAAATCAAGACAGCTGCTGTTCTAACTTTGCAATTTGGGAAGTTTATTGAATTCCCATTGACTGCACTAATTCTGAATCTTAAGTAACTTTCCCTTTGGACCAAAGGAGTGAGTTAGCTTTGGCACCAAGGTTTAAAATTGTATGTAGTATGAATTCCTCTTCATTTCAATTCTTTATTGTTAAAACATCATTCTAAAAAAACAATGAATTAAGAGATACCACTTACTGCTAGGCATGCTGGTGCATGCTGGCCATCTCAGCACCTGGGAGTCTGAATCAAGTTGGTCTAATTCATTCTCAGCATCAAAAGTAGCCTGTGCTGCATGAAACCTGTGTCAAAAAAACAAGAGAGGAAAAAAAAGATCAATTACTAACCAGAAATACAACCTCAATTTGGTAATTTGCATGCTACTTTCAGAAATGTTCTAGTATTTCAGTGTTTCTATATTTAGATCAAGGGATTTGCATGTACCTGGCATAATTTGCCCCTTTAACTTACTATTATGTAGAAATATCAAATTTCTGAGTTCTTATCATTTGTTTATTAGCATAGTAAAACCATTTTTAGTTTTCCACTTTGATAACCTTTATAGCCAGCTTTTTGCCACGTTCTAAAATATTTAGCTGCCTTTTGTTTTTTGGTTTTGTTTCATTTTAGTGCTGAGGAATCAAACCCAGGGCCTTCTGCATACTAGGCAAGTCCTACCACTGAGCTACATCCCTGGCCCAGGCTGACACTGGTCGTACATGTCAGTGAACCATTAGGGCCAGCAAGTGGTATGGGAGTTAGGGAGAGGCTGGCTGTTTACTATTTGAACTGGCATTGAGTGTTGCTATCAGCTGGGGGGGACTAAGTTGAAACAAAGCTTTGCCAAAATTTCAAACACTTGAACATTTGTTTAGAAAATGGAGTTGAATTTCAGGTGTTGCCCTTGCCATTAAAAACATCAGTCAGGAGACTTGGTTTACCTGGGTACAGAGGTACTTGACGGTTGAGTACCTGCGGCACCTGACCACTGTCACTGTGCCAACCAAAGCAGCTGCAGTGTACCAGCTATTGACATGAACATGTTTACAAAGTTGAGTTTTGTCTTCATATAAGAATGATTTTTAAAAAACTTTTTACATAGTAGTTATGATGCAATGTGTTTAAAGCATAACAAGTTAGCTTAAATATATGGTCTTTACTTGAATTTTAATTCTGACAGAAAGCAGATTTTGACTGTTTACAGGAATGCTTGAAATGAGTCATGAGATCTCCAGTTATCTCTGAAGCAAAACTATGTTACAGGCTAGTGTTATTAGCCTGCGTATTTGGGCATTGACTGGGCAGTAACTCACAACTATGCTTTGCTTACATCCTGTTCTACAAAGTAGTACTTCTAGCGTGGATAAGTATTTTTAACTGATATTAAATCATATTTTTGCATTTCAGTCAAACTAGTAAGAACATATGTAAAAGTACAAATAAGATATTAATCTGAAATTCATGTTTCATATGACCTAAGCTGTATTTTTAAATTCAAATTTAAAATACGATAGAGATTCAGAAAGGTCCATATTTTTCTAATGACTTCATGCTATATTATTTTCTTGAGTTATGTAAAGCAAGGAATTGTATTTGTATTAAGGAGCTAAGAAAGCTGTTAGTTTATTATATTTGTACATGATTACAGACAAGCCTATGCCCATTTAAAAGAAAAGATGGATACTATTTAAGGTGATATTTAATATGCTTTTCTATAAACAAGTTTGAAATATAGTTTACCTTAGTTGTCTTATCAATAGCATAGCCTTCTATTTATTTCTCATTATGTGAACCTGGACCATGACCAATGACTCTTTGCTCTGTATTTTGGATGGCCTAACCCACATTACTGTGTGTGCATTTTACAACTTTTTTTTTCAGAAACTATAATTACCTTATTAATAAACAGATAAAGATCTTGTCTTGTTTTTGAATGGTTTTGTTGCCATTATATTTGTCAAATGAGAAAATAATTGTCATTTTGATCTACATAAATATCTGTTAAAGGTATTGTTTAGTTCAGTGGTTCTCAGCCTTCTTTTTTTTTGTTGTTTTTTTGTTTTGTTTTTTGAGACAGGGTTTCTCTGTGTAGCTCTGGCTGTCCTGGAACTCACTCTGTAGACCAGGCTGGCCTCGAACTCAGAAATCCGCCTGCCTCTGCCTCCCAAGTGCTGGGACTAAAGGCGTGTGCCACCATCACCCGGTGGTTCTCAGCCTTCTTAATGCTGTGACCCTTTAATTTAGTTTATCATGTTATGGTGACCCCCAACTGTAGTTATTTTTGTTGCTACTTCATAACTAATTTTGCTATTGTTATGGATAGTAACATAAATAGCTGTTTTTCATGGCCTTAGGCAACCTCTGTGAAGGGTTATGACTCCCAGGCTGAGAACTGCTGGCTTAGTTGCAGAGCTTAGTAATTTCTGGAAACTCTAAGAGAGTTAAATTGTAGTTTACATATATTTATTCAGAACCTAAAAGGTTTAATTGGGCTTTTCCTGGACACAGTTTTTTTATAAGGTACTTTAGAGTCATGAATACTGCCAGATATGTTTGTTAAATTACTGAGTAATAGAAGTAGACCATTAAAATCTCAAGAGGACCTGTAAGAACTAATAGGCTCACATAGATGAACACCTTCTCTGGTGCAGTAAGTACACTCTCTCAAGCCAGTCTTGGTGGTGCACACCTATAATCCCAACACAAGAAGCAGAGACAGGAGGATGTCTGTGAGTTGAAACTGCTGGTCTACATATCAAGTTCCAGGCAAGCCAGGGCTACATGGTTGAGACTGTCTCAAAACAACACCATTAGGAAGTGTTCCAAAATGCACAAAGATAGCAACTCTTTGATGCCATGGTCTTTATGGTTATTTAATAGTTCTTTGACCTTGTGTTCATGACTTTCACCTAATGGTTTTTCGTTCTGTGTTAAGATTTTGAAGAGGGAGCTCTTATGAGAAAGGGTCTATCAGTGCCCTGGAATCCATGAAGCTAGAGTTAAAGGCAGTTGGGAACCACCTGTTTAAGAATGGGAAGCACTCCTAAGCAGTCAGCCAACGAACCAACTCCCTAATAGCTTTTGTGTGCTATTTCTGCTTGATGACCCACCCCAGCTACATTTCAGCTCATCAAGTCGCCCTTCATCCTTCACAGGCTGACACCCTTCCTACCTCCACAGTGCTAAATTTCTATTACCGTTTTCATGTTGCTCTGCTGTTATGTGGCTCCAGTCAACTGTAGATAAATTCTTGAAATTTTGTTTTGCTGTAGTAGCCTCCCATAAAATAAACCCTGAAAAATCAGAAAGGGACTAATGAATTTCATGTCCACCAATTTTATTTTTATTTGGTGGTGTCTAGATACCCCTAACTTCGAATATATTAACCAGGGGCTAGAGAGAGAGCTCTGTGGTTAAGAGCATATACTGCTCTTCCAGGGGGGCAGAAGTCAGTTGCCAGCACCTATAATGGTGACTGATTCCAGCTCTGGGAGATCCAGTACCTGGCTTCAGTATGTGCATATACACACACACACACACACACACACACACACACACACACAGGTCAGAATTTAATGTTTTGGTGCCTTTAGCAGTCTCGGGAAAACAGATTGGTTTGGCAGTGGCCATTCTTTGATTCATTTTTCTCTTAAGGAGTTGTAATTCATAAGAATAATCATTACATATACTTATCTGGCAGAGGATTTTTACTATGATCATGAAGATAGTTTTCCCAGGATGAGGCTTATCCATTGGCATCTGGATGTGCTGACCCCTGTGATTTCCCCAAGTGTGTGAAACTTGGTTTTGTAATTTGTGGTAATTCATTGGCTCCCCTACAAGGAAAAAAAAAAAAACCTCTACAGTACTGTTTGAAGCAACAAAAGACTCAAGCGCTCTGTGTCTGACTCCACTGCTGTTTGCATGTGCAGTGGTGGCTGAAACATACGTGACCAACCCCTAAGAGAGCTGCTTGGAGTTGAGAGCTGCCACTTCAGTGTTTGTCTTTCTACCAGGCTCCTACCTCAGTTTTCAAAAAGAAAAATTGGCCTTAGTCTTCGTCAATGGTAACAAGATGCTAGACCAATGTGCTACCTATATGAGGAGACATTGCCTTTTTCACACAGTACATACATTCTACAGGGCTTTCAGTTATTTTAAAACTTCTAGGCCAGCAAGATAGCTCTGCAGGTAAAGGCAATTTCCTCCAACCTGAAATCTTGGGTTTGCTTCCAGGAAGCCAAATGTGCACAGTAGCCTGTTCATGTGCAAACACATGAATGTAATAAACATTCCAAAAAAATAACTATGGAATCCCAAGAAAACATTCTGAGACTTAATAAGAAGCATTGATTAAATGCAGCCCTGAGATACAACCTCTGAATTAACAATGCCCTAAGAAATCTATACAGGAATGGTAGAGAAAGCTAGTCATTTGGAGAGCTTTTTACAAAGCAGTATATGAGGAAGACCTGTGTGTGTGTTATAGTCCAGAGACACCAAGAAGCCATTAAAAGATGTCAGTCGCCGGGCGGTGGTGGCGCACACCTTTAATCCCAGCACTTGGGAGGCAGAGGCAGGCGGATTTCTGAGTTCAAGAGTTCGAGGCTAGCCTGGTCTACACAGAGAAACCCTGTCTCGAAAAAAAAAAAAAAGTCATAGTCAAAAACTGGAGCATCCCTAGGTGTGGTGGATAGGCCTTTAATTCCAGCACTCAAGAAGTAGAGTTCAAGGCCAGCCTAGTCTACCATAGTTCCAGGACAGGACTACCTTAACAAAAAAATGAATTGAAGTACATCCATGAGAAAATGACAGCTACTGAGTACCTCCACGAGAGAGGGTGAGTAGGAAGAACAGAAGCCCAAGCAACTCGTTCTCTTTTCTAGGCACTCAGCACCTCTAAGGACCTGGGTTCCCTGGTAAGGAAAGGACTGAGGTGACAAAATGCTGGGTGGCCAGTGAGGGAACCCAAGACTGTAATGAGCTCTGGGATATGGGCACAGAGTAAGAAGTAGTGGCAGCTCACAACTGTAACCCCCAGCACTTGGAATGTTGATGCAGAATTGCTCAAGTTCATTTTGAGCCATACAATAAGACTATCTCAGGGGGAAAAAAATTAACCAAAAATACCTTGGTTTGCAGCTTACTTCATTTGGCCACTGAGAGTAAAAACCATGTATTTGGAAGATTTATCAACTCTGAATGTGCCTGGACAGAGTGAACCTGCTACTAGCAGCTTTTCCTTGGCCTTTTGTTTTCTTTTGTCTTTTTCCTGTTCTAGGCCTTGAATCTGGCCCTTTGCACATGGTAAACAAGCAGACAGCTAGCCCTACCTGTCCTGGAGCTCACTCTGTAGACCAGGCTAGCCTTGAACTCAGGATCCATCTGCTTTGCCTTCCCAAGTGCTGGGATTAAGTGTGCACCACCACCACCTGGCTTCAACCTTTTCAAATGAAAGTGATGTCTGTATCATGCAGCCCTTTCAAAGTTGGATGTTTTATGTGTGCTGGAAGTACAGTCTGAAAAAACTTACTAAAACCCCAGCACTGGAGGACAATGACCATTTGTAGGTCAGCTTAGGCTACAGGATGAACCTGGAACAACAGACCCCATGATGGAAGTACCATTCAGGCCTTGGAAACAAGCACATAGGCAACAAAATGTGCATCATAGTCCAGTTCTGGGAAAGCCTCTAAATGTACTAACCTTACTTTTTGGCCTGTATGGTTCTGTTCCTAGCTGAACTTGTTAACTGAATTTATCAAGTCAACCCAGGTGTGGGGCTTTTTTTTTTGTACTTAAAAGCTCACCCTGGCCGGGCGGTGGTGGCGCACGCCTTTAATCCCAGCACTTGGGAGGCAGAGGCAGGTGGATCTCTGAGTTCAAGAGTTCGAGGCCAGCCTGGTCTACAGAGTGAGTTCCAGGACAGCCAGGGCTACACAGAGAAACCCTGTCTCGAAAAAAATCGAAAAAAAACAAAAAAAAAAAAAAAAAGCTCACCCTGAGAAAGACTCAGTACTGCCCTTGAGTAACAGATGCTCAGTGTAATCACCTTCTGGCTAATACAGAATTCCTGTGTGCTTGACCCTGTGTCTGAGAGGTCTTCTCTGGTGGATGCTCCACAAACCCTTGTCTAAATCCTGTGGGCTACAGTCCCATAAGTTCTGTTGCTGTTGTTGAGAAGGTCTCACTATGAAGCTTTAGCATGTTGACCAGGCTAGCCTGGAATTCAATGCTCTGCCTGCTCTGATCCCGAGTGCTGACATTAAAAACACCCAACACCACAGCCATCAGAAATCCCCTACTTTTTGTCCCCTACATACCCTTTTCAGGCACGGTATGTAGTTGAGTTAGAAGAACCATTGCATAACATGTGACACCTCAGATTCAACCACCAGCACTAACAAGTTTTAGAACCTAGACAGATGAAACAGTTTGTACATGTGATTTTGCATCACTTCTTGGATTCATTCATGCCAGTTTTATTTAACAGGTTGGAGAGGATGGTAGAAGGTAATAAAGGAATAATACCTTTCAGAATCTATGTATTAAAACTTGTTTCACTTACTGTAGTTTGTTACACTCTACTTGGTTGATGTCCCTACAGTCCTGCTCTGAGGTACAGGGAGGAGTGGATCTGGGGGAAGAGATTGGGGAGAGGGGAAATGCAGTCCAGATCTAACGTATGAGAGAATAAATAAAAAAAATAATAAACTAATATTTTTGAAAACTGTTCCTTCATGTAATGCTACCCTGCCCTTGTGAGTGAAGTAACTACTCTAGGCCCTCTGATTAATATGCAAATTTTCTTTCAACTTTAATAAATGAAAAAAGCGTATGTAAAACAAACAAATAGCCAGGCGGTGGTGGTGCACACCTTTAGTCCCAGCACTCGGGAGGCAGAGGCAGGCGGATTTCTGAGTTCAAGGCCAGCCTGGTCTACAGAGTGAGTTCCAGGACAGCAAGGGCTATACAGAGAAACCCTGTCTCGAAAAACCAAAAAAAAAAAAAAAGAAAGAAAAAGAAAAAACAGTCTTGGTACTGTTGACCATGTGTTAACAGATATATTTAAGTGTATTAGTTTCATTTCATAAGTAAAATACTTAGCTAGTAAGTCTATTTTGTCCATTGGATAGGTCCAGAAGAAAAAGTAGTTGGCTCATGCCCAAGGAAATATACTGCTGAGGAAAGGACAATAGTAAGCAGAGTGGTGAAGGGAGCCATTCATAGTCCTCACTGCGTGTTTCACTGACCACACATTTTCCTGCATGCTTAGAAAAACTGTAAAGACCAAATTATGGGGGTGAGGGGAAGACTATAAACAAAGGGGGGTAAAACAGTCCCAAGTGCATACTTGGCACTCAGCATTTCTGAAGGACTAGTATAATTCCCTCTGTATGAACACTGAATGAACATCTGTAGGCATCAGGAAAGATGTATACCAGAGTGCCCAGCAGTCTCTGGATCGAAGACTTTAAATTTTCTTTCACTGTTTAAGTTTGCTACCATAAACAGTACAGCAGGAAACATTCACTAGTATCTTGTGTGTTACTGCTGAACATAAGTTGGTACTGTATGGATGGACACCATTTTGACACTGCCAGTGTACACAGGACCCACTGCCCACAGTCACTGAGTCACATGCTGCTGTCACTAAGAATACATGTATACTGACATGCTTGACAGCAAGGTTTTTTGGAGGAAAAAAAATTAAATGTCCATTATCAATAGATGTTAATAGGCCCAACTATATCATTCATGTAATAGAAGTATATGGCAGATCTGTATAGATTCAGAGAGGCCCATGATACACTGATGCAGTCAACAAGCAAGTTTGCTAGGCATGGTGGTGCATGCTTATAATCCCAGTAGAGGGGAAGAGGCAGGAGGATCACTGAGTTCAAGGATACACAGTGAAAAAAGGAAATTCAAGTCATTGATAACCACCAGAATGTAACCACCAGAATAGATGGCGAAGGAATTACATTATGCATTTTTAAAAAGCCAAAATAAACTATTCTACTTACAGATCCTTCTTCAAACAAAAACAAAGAGATGAACAATAGTGGGGGGAGTCAGGCTGCTACAAAGAGAATGGAGGACACTGTAGCAATGGAACTACGGTTATAAAACTAAATCAACTTGTACACATAAACATGGAAGCATATAAAAAGCTCATACCAATTTCTAGGTTTTGATGTGGTTAGAGAAAAAATGTTGCTTCATTATAGTTACAATGGACTTGTACTTTCTCTTGGTATCTTTCTATGAAATCTCCAACTCAAAAAAATGAGATTAAAAAGGACTGGGCGGGCTGGTGAGATGGCTCAGTGGTTAAGAGCACTGACTGCTCTTCCAGAGGTCATGAGTTCAAATCCCAGCAACCACATGGTGGCTCACAACCATCTGCAATGATATCTGATGCCCTCTTGTGGGGTGTCTGAAGACAGCTACAGTGTACTTACATATAATAAATAAATAAGTAAAAAGGACTGGGCATGGTATACACCTTGCTTCTAGCACTAGGGAGACAGAGATAGGTGAACATCTAAATTTGAGGCCAGCATGGTGAACATATTAAGTTCTAGGCCAACCAAGACTATACAGTGAGATTTATCTTTAATAAAAAGATAATAATAATTAAGAAAAAAAAAGTCTCACTGGGGCAGTGGTGGCACATGCCTTTAATCCCAGCACTTGGGAGGCAGAGGGATTTCTGAGTTCGAGGCCAGCCTGGTCTACAGAGTGAGTTCCAGGACAGCCAGGGCTACACAGAGAAACCCTGTCTCGAAAAACAAAAACAAAAACAAACAAACAAACAAAAAAAATCCCAAGCTGCTCTGCATCTGTAGACCCAGATACTTGGGAGACTCAGTCAGGAGGATCAATTCAGTCCAGAAGTTCAACAACCTGAGCAGCATGGTAAGACCTATCTCAAAAATTTGTGTGTGCAAGTGGTGGTACTACACACTTTTAATCCCAGCATTTAGGAGGCAAGAGACAGGCAGTTCTCTGTGAGTTTGAGGCCAGCCTGGTCTACAGAGTTTGACAACAGCCAGGGCTAAACAGAGAAAACCTATCTTGAAAAACAAATCAACAACAATGGTATTTTTTTTTTCTTTTTTTTTTTTTTTTGGTTTTTCGAGACAGGGTTTCTTTTTTTTTTTTTTTTAAATTTATTTATTGTATGTAAATACACTGTAGCTGTCTTCAGACACCCCATAAGAGAGCATCAGATCTCATTATGGATGGTTGTGAGCCACCATGTGGTTGCTGGGATTTGAACTCATGACCTCTGGAAGACCAGTCAGTGCTCTTAACCACTGAGCCATCTCACCAGCCCAACAATGGTATTTTTAAACAAACTAAAAAAACTTGCACTGTTTGTATCCATTTAGTATAGACGGGAGTTCCAGGCTAGTGTGGGTAGATGTGCTCAACAAAACAGAAACTTTCCTGTTAACAGTTCTAATAAATATCTTTACTTCACATGTCCACTCACAGAATCCAAATTCTAGAAGCAAATACTCTTCTTTTGAAAAACGGTCTCACAGGCTGGCCTCAAATTTGCGTGGAAGTTGACCTTACACTTCTGATCCTACCCCTACCTACAGAATGCTGGGAATCAAAGGCAGGCTCTATTCTAGAGCAGTGGTTCTTGGCCTTCATTACACTCTTTAATACAATTCCTCATGCTGTGGTAATTCCAACCATAAAATTATTTTGTTACTTCATAACTGCAATTTTGCTGTTATCATAATATAAATATCTGATATTCAACCCTGTGAATGGGTTGCACACCCACCACATAGGGTCATGACCAACAGGTTGAGAATGGCTATTCTAGACAGAAAGTGAGAAAACACCTCTTGTACAACAAAGCTCTACCAAGTACTTCAGACTTAAAAAGACTCCATCCGTTTGTAGTTTTACAACAGCATTTAAAAGTAAAAAAGCACAGGCTGGAGAGATGGCTCAGCAGTTAAGAGCACTGACTGCTCTTCCTGAGGTTCTGAGTTCAATTCCTAGCACTACATGGTGTCTCACAACCATCTGTAATGGGATCTGAGGCCCTCTTCTGGTGTGTCTGAAGACAGCTACAGTGTACTCATGTGACACAATGGTGGCACTTGCCTTTAATCCCAGCACTTGGAAAGCAGAGGCCAGGAGATCCAAGTTCAAGGCCAGTCTAGTCTACCCATCAAGTTCCATAGCTACCCACATTTTACAGAAGGGCAGGGAGCCATGCCTGTAATTCCAGCAGCTAGACACAAGCAGGGCTGCTGTAAGTTTGAGGCCAGAAAAAAAACAAAAACTGAAAATAGACCATTATGTACATGTAGCAACTTAGAGTCCCAAATACTCTCTTTTGGCTTTCTGAGTCCAGGTTTTACTAAGTACAACGGCAAAGATTTTCCTGCCTCCGCCTCCTAACGTTGGGATTACAGGCATGAAACAAGCGCCTAGGTAGGGTCCCAAGTATTCCATATGACACAACTATTAATCATGTTTGCTTTAATAAGATACTGGTCGAAGAGGGTCACGCTGGTACATAAATTGCATTTTCTCAGCTCCAGAACCAAGTAAGGACAGAGCAGTCTGGTATTCATAAGGTTGAAGGGTGATGATTCCGGGTTAGGACCATTTCTTCGAGATGTTGAGATGGTCTAGCTGGTCTGTAATGTATCTATGTTTAGGGAACTTGGAAGTGGCTACTGCCTTGATGGCTTCAAAAGCCTGGGCCCTTCGCTCCGCGGCGTGGCCGTACTCCTGCTCCGCGGTCAGGTAGGGCATGCTCAGCCAGTAGTGGTTCTCGGCCTCCACCTCCAGGCGACGGATCATGTTCTCCTTCGCTTGGAAAGACACGGCCCGCGGCCGCCGGTGCTTCCCGATAAACTGCCTGCCCGGAATGCGGCCGCGGAGGAGGACAGCGGTGAAGAACATGGTGCCTCCTGAGGAAACGACACGAAAGTCGCGGTTGCTGAGACCCGGAGCCGGGAAGCGTACAACAGGCGAGCCAAGCTGGCGCCCACGTCCCGCGGCCACGGGGCGGAATCCAGAGCACGCTCGGCCTCTCGCCGGAAGTGACAGGCCGGGAGCCGACTGCACTGCAGGGAAAGGGAGGGCCTCCCCCGAAAACTCACCTCGCGAACGAGCTGACTCCGGACGCGCTCCCCTTCAGCGTCCAGCGCACATCGACCGACGCAGTGGTGCACGCGCACTGCCTCCGGGGCTTTCGGGGACCCTACTGCGAGACTTCCACTCTCGCGAGAGAAGTTTGCGCCTGCGCATGGCGGGCGGGGCCTGCGTGACGCTAGGATTCAAATGTGTGGCGCGTTCTTTCGAGGAGACTGGAGGGCGACCGTCCGTCCGCTCAGCAGCTCTCAGTATGAATCCTATCCAGAGTTTCCACTGTAAGCTGCGGGGTCTGGCCACCATGCTGGACGGCGAGACGGCCCGGCTGCTGCGAGCGCTGGATGGCGAGGACAGCGGTAAGTGGGCGCGGGCGAGCTCGGTTCTCAGTGGACAGTGTCGCCCACTGGGTGTACTTGATCTGTGATGAAAGCAGCACTGACAGTTCTCCAGTGTGGCCGCAGGTGGAGCGGAGGCGAGCTATTTGTTGAGTGCTTGTAAACAACATCCAGAGTCAACTGTTCAAACGATGCACTAAAGCCCTGTTTTCTGTACGTGTAAAGTGGTTTCGTCTCACTCTAATGGGCCCCTATTGAAGCAAGCATCTGCATTTTCTCCAGTAATACTCTATTTACCACACAAATACTCCGCAATGCTTGTTTCGTTTTTTAGATTTATTCGTCTGTTTATGTATATGAGTGCTCTATTTGTATGTATGTACGCATGGCAGAACCCCGTTGTAGATGGTCGTGAGCCACTGTGTGGTTGCTGGGAATTGAATTTAGGACCTCCGGAAGTGCAGCCAGTACACTTAACCACTGAGCCATCCCGCTGCCCCCCCCTTTTTTTTTAAATAATAAATAGCACTTTTAATTTGTATTAGAGATTTAAAACATAATAGTTGCAGGTGAAGGAATGGGGTCTGCCATGAATCTCAGCACTCAAGAAGTAGAAAGATGTAGATTTCTGTGAGTTCAAGGCCAGCCTGGTCTCAATAGGTAGCTCCTGATCAATCAACCAGGCTTAGCGAGACCCTGTCCAAAAAAAATTCATGCAAAAAGTAGTTCAGATTTTTAGATTATCATAAAATGTCGTAATTGTAATCTGTCTTAAGTATTGCACCTGTAGGTCGAATGTAGTGGCACTTGCCTTTGATCCCAGCACCCTGAAAGGCAGAGGCAGGCAGATCTCTGAGTTTGAGGCCAGCTTGGTTTACAAATTGAGTTCCAGGACAGCCACAGAAAAACTCTGTTTTGAAAAAAAATAATAGAGCCGGGAGGTGGTGGCGCACGCCTTTAATCCCAGCACTTGGGAGGCAGAGGCAGGCAGATTTCTGAGTTCGAGGCCAGCCTGGTCTACAGAGTGAGTTCCAGGACAGCCAGGGCTACTCAGAGAAACCCTGTCTCGAAAAACCAAAAAAAAAAAAAAAAAGAAAAAAAAAAGAACAGAAACAAACAAAATAACAACAAAAATTGCACCCTGTATACGGAGATTCCTCTTGCTTATAACTAACTCTCCCTTTGGAAATGTTTTGGGGACTATAAAAGTAACATGTACTGTAGGAAATTTCAAATACATAAAAATAAAAAGAATATACGTATTTTCTATTTAATTCATAGCAGACATCACTTACTGTTGTAGCAGCCCTTTTTTAAACCATTCTTAGTTTAGGGGATTAAAATGTGCTTTATTTGTTTATGTTGTTGAGCTAATTTGGCACAATATACTAAAGTTCATTAGTATTTCAATTATATAAAAGTTGCTTTTCACAAAGTGTTTGCTAGTTTGTAGTCTTAATAAAACATTACCTCTGCACAAACTTCATTTAGTTTTTGTTTGTTTTACAAGAAAATGTTGTAATAATTTTTAATATGTAAAAAATATTAAAGGCCAGCCTTTACATTCAATTTTTACATTCAAGGCCAGCCTGGTCTTCAGAGTGAGTTCCAGGAGAGCCAATGCTGCACAGAGAAACTCTATCTTAAAACAAAACGAAAACAACAAACAAAACAAAAAAAACAAAGAGAGAGGGAGAGGGAGAGGGAGGAGAGGGAGAGAGAATATGAATGAATTCTGGGATGAAAGGCATGCACCACTGCCTCCTGTCTTTTGTTTCTCTATTAACTATAGTAAACCCAAACTCTGCTTCATTAGAAAAGAAAACAACTCTCTGCCAGTAGAAGTTGTTCCCCATAATCCTCTCACAATCCATCCCACGGGCTTTAGGCAACCTTCTGTCTACTTTCTGTGCAGTGGGCCTGGCTCTTCTGGACCTGCCCTGGAAAAGAAGCCCGAGAATATTGTCCTTTAGATTCCTTCTCATGTTCATCCACATCGTAGAGCAAGCAAACCATGCCAAGTCTTATTCCATTGTATCATTTGCTATACAATGTGGTTATATGCTTATAATTGGTGTTAGGTGTACTTTATCTTGGTGAGTTCACTGTGTAGTTCGTGCTGTGTTGATCAGAGACTAGTCTGGCCTTGAACCCACACAGATCCAACTACCTTTGCCTCTCACTTCTGGATCAAAGCATGGGTTGCTGTGCCTGTAGACTTATGTAATTTATGTGTGTTATACTTCCTTGAAGGCTTTTTTTATTTTTGTTTTTCAAGACAGTTTCTCTGTATCCCTGGCTATCCTGGAACTCAAAGAAATCCACTTGCTTCTGCCTCTCAAATGCTGGGATTAAAGGTGTGCATCACCACTGCCCAGCAGGATTTTTGTTTGTTTGTTTGTTTTTTGTTTTTTTGAGACAGGGTTTCTCTGTGTAGCCCTGGCTGTCCTGGAACTCACTCTGTAGACCAGGCTGGCCTCGAACTCAGAAATCCGCCTGCCTTTGCCTCCCAAGTGCTGGGATTAAAGGCATGTGCCACCACTGCCTGGCTACCCAGCAGGATTTTTATGTTTAAGAAAATACATTAATTTTTGTTTGTTTGTTTTCCTCATGCTTATTGGACTTTTTTTTTTTCTTGCTTGAAGACTTTGAAGATACTCCAGTGAGAATTTTGTATAACCTTCATTCAGAAGTCCAGACTCTAAAGGTACTATTAACTCACCATTTTTCTTCTATGTGGGTAATTTTCTCTAGCCTAAGTTGTTAGGGGTCTGAGATCACTCAGAGATCACCAACCTAACAGAAACTAAGATTTTAATAAAAAGAGGCTGTTTGGATACTGGCACCTGAACTGACTGATGCCAGGACTTCATCTGAGAGTACGTTAAAGATAAGCAGGTAGCCATGTTAGTCCAGGGTTTATAAATTTACACCACCCCCCTAGATTACATGTGTCCTCCCTGCATGTAGGAAAGGCCTAATTTAATATATATATCTAACAGCTGTTCTAATTATCTTTTTTGAGCAGAGTGAGAAAACTTGATTACAAAAGCAGAAATAACTGTCTTGAAACCTACTATCTTGCAAGAATAGAATATCTTACAAGATCAGTCAGTTTTAAGAATAGTCTTCAATGTCTGGGAAAAAAGGGAAGGCTACAGCTTGTACAACAAGCTAAGGTCTTACATATTAGAAAGCATTTTTGCTTTTTGGTCTCTCAAGCATAGTAAGTTTAAACTTATAATAATAACCATCACAAAGTAAACTTGAAAGTTACAAAATGTGTAATATATTTGCTTTCCTCCTCAAAGGATGATGTTAATGCTCTTCTTGATAACGCCAGATTGGAAAGTCAAGAAAGCACAAGCTTCATAAAGGCAACAAAAGTACTGATGAAAAAAAATTCAGCAGACATCATAAAACTAAGAGAGTTTTTCCAGAAGTATGGATACCAAGCACGTGACAAAGAGGATTCAGGTTTGGTTGACACGTTTCCTAGCGTCGCAGTATGGAAGCAGGCAAATGATTACGACAACTAGGGGCTCAGCTGTGGCTCCTTGTATCTGTCATTCAGAGAGCATTCAGGACACTGCCAGTCCATCCTTCCCAGGAAGTCTTGAATTTGAGGGCCCTCTTGGACAATATTAGCAAAACTCGGCAGAAAGACATAAAAATTTCCCTTGCTCTCCCTCAAAAGTGGTAGATGAGCACCTTTGAGCTGTTTAGAATGAAAAAGTGCAGGTAAAGTCGACTGACAGCATGGGCAAAACATGCCTAGTTAGCTCTGCCAGTAAATAGCTGGAGAACCACATGGTACTTTTTCATTTCTTTTATATTCAGATTCTTCTTCTGCAGAGCAAGATGCTTAAACTATACAAATTGATAAAATATCTTTTTAGTTGAAATTAAAAAAAAAAAAAAGACTGGTTATTGTGCCATGGTGGCTTAGTAAAGCAAGTCATGCCTGTAATTGTAGGGGTCTGAGGAGAAGGGTCACAGTTCACAGGTTGTTATTAGTCGGAGCCTAATGACTGACCTGGCTCCTCCCTCAGTGTAAGGTGGGATAACTAATATGTCTCCCTCATGAGGTTGTGTAGAGACCAGGTGGAGCTGAGCACAGTGCAGCCCTTGGAGGCCAATGCCTGAAGGGCACTGGATGGTGGCCAGCAGCCTGTCTATTGCCAGTGTTAACTGCTGCTGTTCTGCCCACACCTCTGCGTGGCTGGCTGTGATATGTTTCAGTATCATGGTCTTTTATGAAAATGATCATTGTATGTAAGACAGTATTAATGAAATCCAATAAGTATATATGTGTGGTAACTATGTTAGTCAACATAATGTATCAGAATTCAATTTACTTTCAAAGTTAGAAAATGGTAATATGGGCTGGAGAGATGGCTCAGTGGTTAAGAGCAGTGACTGCACTTCCAGAGGTCCTGAGTTCAAATCCCAGCAACCACATGGTGGCTCACAACCATCTGTAATGAGATCTGACGCCCTCTTCTGGTGTGTCTGAAGACAGCTACAGTGTATTCATATATAATAAATAAATAAATCTTTAAAAAAAAAAAAAAAGTTGGTAAAAAAAAAAAAAAAAAGAAAATGGTAATATATGACTGGGCAGTGGTGTCGCATGCCTTTAATCCCAGCACTTGGGAGGCAGAGGCAGGCAGATTTCTGAGTTCGAGGCCAGCCTGGTCTACAGAGTGAGTTCCAGCACAGCCAGGGCTATACAGAGAAACAAAAAAAAAAAAAAAAGAAAGAAATGGTAATATAATTTGCTTTCCTTGTAAAAGAAGCATAGATTAAAATACTACTTCTTTCCTTTGGGTACTTAAAAGTTAAGTCTATGGCTAGCAAGATGGCTCTGGGTAGAGGTACTGTCACCAAGCCTGACAATCTTCGTTTGATTTCCAGAACCCACAAGGAGAGATAAGACATCATCACATGTACTGTCTCTCTTTCTCTTTCTCTCTCTCTCTCTCTCTCTCTCTCTCTCTCTCTCTCTCTCTCTCACACACACACACACACACACAAATTGAAAATTTTTACAGAATTAAAAGTTTAAAATTATTCTGTTAACAGTTTGTGTTAAATCTAGAACAGTTGATTATACACTAATTTCATACTAATACTTTCAGAACATACTAAGACTGATCAATAAATCATAATGAGCAAGTAAGGAATTGGATCTTCTTTGTGGGTGTTGTTTTTTTTTTTTTAAAATACTTTGATCTATCTTAAGTGTCTAGATAGAACACCAGTTGGTAAGATGTATGTGCCATACTTTCAGAAGAGACAGTTGAAATGAGAACTTAAGAGACTCAAGGCTCTACTGACATGGAACATTTCTTGCGGCTATTCTGTGATATTTTACTAATCAAGAAATTCTCTGTCTGATGTTTAGCCAGAATTTACCTCTTTGACTTTTCCTCCCAGCATGTGAGCACAGAGGGAGTAACTCCACCCCAGAGTTAGCTGTGTGTAAAGACATTCAAAAGCCTGGTGTGAAGAATGAACTGACTGATCCCTGTGTTCCGAGCAGTTCTGTTTCTGAAGAGCCTCTACGAAGCCCACAGCTTTCAGACTTTGGACTTCAGCGGTACATGGTTTCCCAAGTCCCAGCAAACCCTCCCCAGACAACTGTCAGCCTCAAAGAAGAATGTGTACCTGACACCTCTCCTGCCAAAGAACCCTCTGGTCACGTGCTGAAGACCCCTAGATGTGCTCTAAAGATGGATGATTTTGAGTGTGTAACTCCTAAGTTAGAACACTTTGGTATATCCGAATATACTCTGTGTTTAAATGAAGATTATACCATGGGACTTAGAAATATGAAGAACATTAAAAGGTAATCAACTTGAGGGTTTGGGGGTTTTTTTAAGGTTTATTTTTGTGATTTTTAATTACATGTGTGGCTGTGTGCTAGTGAATGCAAGAGCCCTCGGAGCCATTGGATTCCCTTGGAACTGAAGGTGCAGGCATTTGTGAACTTCCTGATTGTGCATGCTGGGAACCAAACCCAGGTCCTAAAAAGCAGTATGCGATGCTAACTACTGAGGTATCTATCCAGCCCCTTGAAAATATTTTTTTGTTAATTCTTTGAAAACTTTATACAGTGTTTTTTATTATATTCCCCTAATTCCTCTAGTCCCACCCTCCCCCAGTTTATGGCTTTTTTTTTTTTTTTTTTAAAGTAACCCATGATGTCTGATTTGTGCTTCTCACATAGTGCTAAAGTATTGTCTGCCTACCAGGGACCATGCCTCTCCCAGCAGATAACAGCTGCCCATGGTTCCTCTGCTAAGGGTGGGACTTTGTAAACTTCCTCCTGCGTGTTAGGATTTTGTGTAGCTAAACCTTGTGCATTCTGTCAAAACTGTTATGAGTTCGTATATGCAGTTGCCCTGTTGGACCAGGAAAGCACTATTGCAATGTAGCCCTCTACTGCCTCTTCCAAAATGGCCCCTGACCTCTCATCCTCCCCATGTGGCTACTTGTGAGTCTTTGTGTTAATGGTCATCTGAAAAAAGAAACTTTTCCAAGCTGGATACCCTTGGAAGGCAGAGGTAGGCTGATCTGTGTGAGTTCAAGGCCAGCCTGGTCTACAGAGTGAGTTTCAGGACAGCCAAGACTATGTAGAGAGACCCTATCTCAAAGACCCAACACCAAAACAAAAAACCCTGAAGCTTCTCTGAATATCAGATTGAGTAAGGTGGTGCAGGCTTCTAATACAGCACTCAGGAGGCAGATCTCCAAATTTGAGGCCAGCCTGTTCTACATAGCAAGTTCCAGGACAGCCAGGGCTACATAGAACCTGTCTCAAAAAAGAAAGGGCGGGTATGTGCACTAATCTGTGGCATGGCAATGTCATTACACTCCAGTTTAGTACTGTGTCCATGGAGCAGAATTAATCATAGTAGATGTTCTTCCTAAGACCTGTCTAGCCACAGGTTCTTGTTCCCAGTAACAGTTTTATGCATCACTTTTATCTTGTGGGTCAGGCCATAATTTCATTTAGAAAGTGTTTTATTTCTGAAGCTCCAGTGGGTATATCCTGTCTGTAATGTGTGGGAATCGATGGGACCTCACTAACAAATAGCTCCAAAAGGTAACCCATTCCAGGTACTGAGTTTTTTATCTGATAGCCTGTGGTGTCTGAGGGGTCGAGACCAGTGTTCCTGGTAGAGGGTAACTCCTTCTAAACTTTCTGTATGTGTATGTATTGGGAAGCTTCTACAGTAGGAGGTCGCCATGACCTTTTCAAAGATCTTTAGTGTTGACCTTATCCTGCCTTCATCTCATCCCTCACCCCACTTAGTCCTTGTTATTCTTTCCCCCTCCCATGCTGTTTCTGCTGACCTTAGAAGCCATTCCTTGCGGCTCCTTAGGGTGTGCCTCTGCATTTTCCACACACAAGGGAAGATACAATGTTTGCATTTCAGGGTCTGGTTTCACCTCATTCAGAATGATGGCTTACAGCTTCATCTATGTCCCTGAAAATGTCCTAATTTCATTTTTATCAGCTGAATAATATTCCACTGTGTAAATGCACCACATTTCAACTCTGTTACCAGCTCATGTCGGTTACTTCCATTTCCTGGCTCTCATGAAGAAAGCAGCAATGAAGATAGCTGAGTAAATGTCTCTATAGTAGGACATAGACTCCTTTGGGTACATGCATAAGAGTAGTGGAGCTGAATGTTCTGGAAGAGCTATTTCTAGCTGTATAGCTCTAGCTTTATATAGACCCTCCACACTTGATTTTCACAGTGGAGGCACCTGTTTGCACTCCCACCTGAAGTAAATAAGTGAGTTCCCCTTTTCCTGGCATCCAGCCCAGCAAAACTTGGGGGTTTGTGTTTGTTGGTTTTTTGTTGTCAATTTCATTTGTTTGTTTGAGTTAGAGTCCCTCTAACATGTCCTGGATGACCTGAACTCAGATTCCCCTGCTCCTGCCTTTGGAGTGTTGAGAGTGAAGGTGTGCACCTCCATTGCCTTGCATCACTTTTTTTTAATCTTTGCCTCTGAGACTGGGGTAAGATGAGCTGCCCCTGATGTCTGTGCCAGGAACCAAAGTGGGGTCTTCTGGAAGGGTAGGAGACCCTGAGCCATCTCTCCAGGCAACTCTTAGGAAGATTTCAGCTACTTCATATTTGAAATCTCTCTCTTTTTTTTAATGCTATTTATTTATTTTTCTTTATATGAGTACACTGTAGCTGTCTCCAGACGTATACCAGAAGAGTGCATCAGATCCAGTTACAGATGGTTGTGAGCTACCATGTCATTGCTGGGAATTGAACTCAGGACCTCTGGAAAAGCAGTCAGTGCTCTTAACTGCTGAACCATCTCTCTAGCCCCTATTTTAAAATCTCTTGAATCACTAATTTCATCAATAAAGTGTGAGCTATTGATTTTTTTTTTTTTTTTTTTTTTTTTTTTTTTTTTTTTTTTTTTTTTTAGAGAATTTAAGGAGCGGTAGAATTCACACAGCATGCAGTGTTTTCTTCTGTGTATCCACAATTGAGCAAATCCGTCATAATAAAATGACAGAGTCGGTTTTTTACTCCAAAATAATGACAGTTTTTTAAACTGCCACGTGAGGTTATTAATGAAGTCTTGCTACCTTACTGCCTTTATATGCTGGGTATAAAATTCCATAATAAGAGGTCATTAGTCCTATTCAAGTCGCTCAAGATAGGGTGTCATTTGTCTCTTAAGTGCTAGGGTCTCATGTATGTGCCTCCACACCTTGCTTTATATTTGAATATGTAAAGTGAATATTAGTATGTTAATATTATAATTAATATAAATATTAATATTTAATAGGATATTAAAGCAAATAGTATACTACTTTAAATATATAAAGATATGTGTATTCAATCTATTTTTAAAATTATTTTAATGATTTCTTTTTTTTTTTTTGTTTCTTTGTTTTTTGGTTTTTCAAGACAGGGTTTCTCTGTGTGGCCCTGGCTGTCCTGGAACTCACTATGTAGACCAGGCTGGCCTCGAACTCAGAAATCCACCTGCCTTTGCCTCCCAAGTGCTGGGATTAAAGGCGTGCGCCACCACTGCCCGGCCTAATGATTTCTTACATTGGCCCTTATTTCATAAACCAAAATGAACTACTCCAGACTGAAATGAGTAAGATGAAGCTTTTCTACAGAGATTGAATGTTAACTCTTGTGACTTTACAGTTCCCCTCTGAGCAGTGCCAGTGGAGAAGCCACAGGGACAGGGCCTGTGACCAGTGATAATTCTTTTGCCATTCCTGGTCCCATAATCCAGCAGCTGGAAAAAAACGGTGAGTTTAAAAATTAGCTTCTCCTTTGTACTCTTTTCTAATTATTTTTGTAATCAATGATTCTCTAATTTTAGGAAGTTTTCTGCACCTTTTTAATGTGTAGCGTTGTGGGTTGTCCTGATGCTGTTTGCATTCTGATGTTAATTCTGCTTCCCTTTCGAGTAGTCCATCATGTACAGGTGATCTCAAATGAACCTTATCCCTATTTTAACTGATCAGTAAAGGCAAGAGCCTGTGATTGGGCAGTGGAGGGGAAAGGTGAGGGTTTGAGAGTAGGGGCGGGGAGTGAGGAGAGAGGACAAAAGACAGGAGGAAGCCGCCATGGACCAGAACTGGGTGGCCTGGAGAAATAAATCACAAGTAGCAAAGGGTCTCATAGTTGGGGAATAAGTATAGTGCTAGATCTGCCCAATCTAGGCACATATCTTACAGTTACAATAATTGGATTGTGTGTTTTTATATGGGCTTATTGGGGTTGGAAATTACAGCAACATGTACTGGGTTTTATTCAGTACCATTCCATTTAGGTTTAGCTTGATTTCATGGAAGACAGATACATTTTTATAATAGTTTTTTTCTTTATTTCTTGTGTATGTGCCTTGTACCTTTGGGGTCCAGAAGAAGGCATTGGAACTAGAATTACAGGTAGTTGTGAGCTGCCACATGGGTGCTGGGAACTGGAACTGGGTCCCCTGCAAGAGCAGCCAGTGCTCTTAATTGCTGAGCCATCTGTCGAGCCCCAGTAGACTTTCAGTATTCATTTGATTATGTGCAGTGTGTGAGGTTTTTGTTCTCCACATTTTAACCTACTCTGGTCAGAAGTGTTCTTGTGGGTTTGTGTGGAGGCCAAGAGGGTGAAGAGAGCATCTCCCTCGATTGTTCATCCCTTCGTTTTTGAAACAGCTTGTCTCATTAAATCTAGAGTCTATTAATCTGGCTAGGCTGACTGGCCAGTGAGTTTCAAGGATGTGCCCGTCCCCATCCACCACACCACTGGAGTCACAAGCATATATCGCCATGTCCAGCTTTTTACATTAGTGCTAGAGATCTGAACTCAGGCCCTCATGCTTGCCAAGCAGGCTTTTCTTTGACCAATTCCATTTTAACAGATTTGGTGAGGCACACCTATGATCCCATCACTAGGGAGGAAAAGGCCAAGTTTGAGTCCAACATGGGCTATTTTGAGATTGTGAAACCACAACCCCACCCCCAAAATATATATATTTAATATCTTTATGTGTACGAGTGTACCATATGTGCCCCTAGTGCCTGTGGCAGTGCTGAGAGAAGTTAGATCCTCTGGAGCTGGCGTGTGGGTGCTGGAAACTGAATTTAAGTCTTCTGGAAGAATAGTGCTCTTACCCATTGAGCACCTGTTTATTCTTTAATTTTTGCAAATCTGTGCACTCTTCTCACTTCATTGGCAGATGTCCAAAACTGTCTTTATCATACATTTCCAAAGTTTTGTACTTATTTTTAGAAAAAAAAAAGTGTTAATTGAATGACATTAAATTAATAAGCACTGCTGTTACAAGCAAGTTTAGAAATGTAACTGGCTCATACTCATAGTAGCTTATAGTTCTGTAAGGAAGAGCATGACTGTATTAAATACTAGTTGTTGAAAGAAAGAAAACAGGTTCAGTAATACATTAGAAAGAAAGCACTGGGCACAAAAGAGCTGTCTGCCAAGATGCTATGTTTTGTTTTTTTGTTTTTATTTATTTATTTTTAATGTATATGGTTGGGCTGGAGAAATGGCTCAGTGATTAAGAGCACTGACTGCTCTTCCAGAGGCCTTGAGTTCAATTCCCAGCAACCACATGGTGGCTCACAACCATCTGTAATGGGATCTGATGCCCTCTTCTGGTGTGTCTGAAGACAGCTACAGTGTACTCATATACATAAATAAATAAATCTTACTATATATGGGTATTTTGTCTGCATGTATGGCTGTACACCAAGTACATGCATATCTAGCACCTTCAGAAGTCAGGAGATGGTGTTGAATGCCCTGGTACTGGAGTTATGCATGCTTATGAACTGTCATGTGGGCACTGGGAATTGAAACCTAGTTTTCTAGAACAGCAAGTGTCCTAACCACTGAGCTATCTTTCCAGCTCCCAAGATACTACTTTAAGAAAAATGAAATTGCCGGGCAGTGGTGGCACACACCTTTAATCCCAGCACTTGGGAGGCAGAGGCAGGTGGATTTCTGAGTTCGAGGTCTACAGAGTGAGTTCCAGGACAGCCAGGGCTCCACAGAGAAACCCTGTCTCGAAAAAAAAAAAAAAGAGAGAGAAAAAGAAAAATGAAATTAAGGCTGCAGAAATAGCTCAACAGTTAAGGTACTAGCTGTTTGTTGGGATAGTTGGTGCTGCTATGTATTCAAATGTTAAATACTGGCCCCAAGATCTGATCACAGTCCAGAGGAGCATATTCTCATGTACACCAAATGATGTTGTATACTTTGCTTGCCTATATTTTCTGACTAGTTAAATAAAAATGTCTGACAGCAATTACTGGGGAGAATAGAGGTAGGCGAGGACTACTAGGCTGAAGGCAGGGTTGAGAGGTGGGGGGAGGGAAGATGGAGGACCAGGAAATGGACTGATAGAGCCAATCCAGCACAGACAGGATGACTATTGGCAAGTAGCTTGGGGAGCGCACCTGGGAAATAGCCAGTCTATTGTAGAGAAATAGTTTAAGGGTGATTAAATAAACAGCTGGGGCCGAGTCTCGATTATTGGGGTGCTGCCAAGCTCATAATAAGAACTAATAGAGTTATTAACTCTCCAACAGTAGTTGTTCTTCCAGGAACCTGGTTTGATCAATAACAACCATGGTGCTCAAAACCATGTACACCTTCAATTCCAGGGGCTTCTGTGTCCTTTTCTGGCCTCCATAAGCATAAACATGAACAGACATACATGCAAACAAAATATCCATACACATAAAATAAAGGTAAACCTTTACACGTCTTTTAAAAATGTAATTAGATCATGCCCTTATGTCATATTCAGAAGTCAATTCCCTATAAAGTATAGTTTTGGTTTTTTTAAAGCGTGGCTGGGGAGACAACTTAGTTAGCAAGTTGCTTGCCACACAAACAGAAGGACTATATAGGGTTTAGGCCCCAAAATGTCCATAAAAATCCAGGCATGGAGCCAGGTGGTGATGGCACAAGCCTTTAATCTCAGCACTCAGGAAGGCAGAGACAACCTGGTCTACAGAATGATTTCTTTGACTGCTAGGACTATACAGAGAAACCCTGTCTCAGAAAACAAAACAAAACAAAAAAAGCAGAAGGAAAATGCAGGTGGAGTGATATATGCATGTTAACACCAGCACTGGGGGAGGTAAGACAGATGAACCCCAGAGCTCGTTGGCTTGCCATCCTAGCCAAATCTATGAGCTTTGAAAAACAAGAAGTAGAAGCTGGACCTGATGGTGCACATCTTTAATCCCAGCACTCAAGAGGCAGAGGCAGGTGGATCTCTGAATTCCAGGACAGCCAGGGATATACTCTAGAGATCTAAATAAATCTTGGAGAAAAACAAAACAACAAAAACAAAGATGGAGTAAAGTGGGAAGACACTTGCTAGCTCCTCTAGTCTGCACAGTCATGTGCACCGAGACACCTGTGTACCCACACCAGTCACTCACCCAAAAAGATAAAGGAGAAAGTATTTTTCAGCAGTGTCTTACCTTGAGTCTTAAACTCACAGCAGTTCTCTTGCCTCAACCTGAGTCCTGGGATCACAGGTGTGAACCACTGTCATGTTAAAATATCTGGTTTTGTTTTTTTTTTTTAACTTTTTGTGTATGTGTGAGTTTTGCATGTATGTCTGTGCACCATGCATATGTAGTACCTAGAAAGGGAGAAGAAGAGGACACTGGAATCCTGGAGCTCATGCCACAGGTAGTTATGAGCTGCCATGTGGGTGCTGGGAACCAAACCTAGAACCTCTACAAGAGCAGCAAGTGCTCTTAACCACTGAGCCACCTCTTCAGCCCTGGCTTCACCCTTTCTGATCCTCCTCCTTCACTCTTGAGTATACTGCCATGCCAAGATTTCTCTCCTGAGGGCATTGAGCTCAGGGCTTCGTGCCATACGGCAAGCACTACATGGATTGATGTTTGCTTGCTTGTTTTATGTTACCTTTTTGTAATGTTTATTTATTTTGGGTGTGTATATATATTACATATGATGTTTGTATATGGGTATGGGTGTGTGCTTGCCATAGTCACTGTTTCATGCGGGCATTGAACATAAGGTTTAGGAGGCAAGTGACTTTACCTGCTGCTGAGCCATGCCCACTTTACATGCTTTTAAATAGATTATTTATAGTTATCTTACTGATTTTTTTTGATAGTAGGAACTGAACCTAAGACCTAAGCAAGCACTCCTAACAACTGAGTTAAATCTACAATCTAAATTTTTCCCCAGATTAAAAATAGTTTGTTGCTGCTGCATGTTACCTGTTCCAGCAGAGCTGAGCGTGCTGCTCCTGTATCGGGTGCCTTTCTGATGCTAATGATCAGTGTGTGTGTGAACTTGACAGCCAAACCGTACACCATACCTAGATCTCTAATACATTAGTAACTAAGTATACAAGCTAAATTGATGATGCTTTTAACTTAAAATTTGGAGGCTGTGGAAATGGCTCACTGGTTAGCACATACTGCTAGAGCACAGTTCTATTGGACTTAATTGGACTCCTAGCAACCACATCAGGTGCTCACAACCACATCTGACTTCTGTGCACACACCTACACACACACAAACATATACACATATATGATTTTTTAAAAAATTAAAGTACTTATTTCTACTTCATTTTCATGCCTATTTTATGTCTTCCAGATGCGGAATGCATAAATTCACCATTGCCACCTAAATTCTGCACTCCTGGTTTGAAAATTCCTTCTAAAATGGACAGGACATATTTGGTAAAATTCCACTAAAGCTCAGCTCTTCTCCTTATGACTGAGACATTCCTTCTGGACACAGTATGTGACAAGTCAGACCAGTGCAGCTCTTAGGGATGCATGTGCAGTGCACTTCTGGGCAGTAGTTTAGCACTGTAAATAAGGAGCTGTACATTCTTTCAATTGTCTAAAGTTGTTTAAAGCAAATTGAGACAGATCTGTAAGAGTATAGAGAGCATGTGGAAGCATGGAGCCAAAGTGCATGAGCAGCAGAGTGAGTGTGTGAAACACATCTAAGAGCTGAGGCCACCAATCCTGAGAGTCTAAGTCAGAAATGTGATGCTTAAAGATAAAGGATTGTATCTATATATGTTCTAAGAAAAAAGAATGAATAGAGACAGGTCAGACTGGGTCTCTAGATAACAGCTTTTTAAGTAATTTAATGTCTCCCCTTTTCATTCTTTTTGTTAACTTATTTAACATAATCAAAACCTTACTCATTAGTTAGGTGAGACGCCCTAGTACTGCGCTATCTGACAAGACTGTTGTAGTGGTGGGAATGTTCTCTTGTTTTTAGTGTTCAGTACAGCAGCCACTTAGACAACTTTCTGAGCTCATAAAATGTGGCTTGGTACACCTGCGCTGTGGCTAAAAATACTGGACAGTGCAGCTGTAGATCAACAGTGTCTTATTAACAGGGTGGTTACTTACTGAACATACTTGCCATTTTCAGTTAATTTACATCTCTTGGTGCTGTGTGTGTGGTTTTGCTTTTTTGTTTTGTTTTGTTTTAAAGAGAAAGGGTCTTATGTAGCTCACAGTGGCCTTGACCTTGCGTTTTAGCTGAGAATTGATTCATCCTCCTCATCCTCCTCATCCTCCTCATCCTCCTGCATGTACCACACGCCCACTTGTTATGTTTCTGTTCTGTGGAAGGCCCTGTTGATGTGATAGTCCTACCTATGCTGTCTTTATTAACTTGAGACTTAGCATGAGTTAAGTGTATGCTAAGCCTCTCTCAGATGTGGAAGTGAGCTTGCATGTATGCAGACAGCATATAGAAATGTGATGTTCTTCTGAGCTGGGTTTTCATGTCTAGCCATGACTACCCTTTCCTCCCATGTTCCTGTGTTCTACCTTAGTACCTAAAGTCTGCACTCGTGGTTTGAGACTTCCCGCTGTAGAGACCCATACAACTTTGGTAAAGTATATTAGGTTAGAAGCCCTAATCTTCCTTAGGACTCGGATGCTGCTACCCAGCCTCGCTTCAGCTCTCACCTGGCTCAGCTGCGCTGCCGTGTGGGGTGCTGGAATCTGTCCTTATCTAGAGCTCAGCCACTGCTCTGTTGAGTTCTCCCAGTTAACTTAGATTAGCAGTGAAGATAGTACTTTGTCTTCTGCATATGATTTTCTTTATTTGGGTAGCACTCAGGAAAGTGGGATCATTCAGGGTCTGCCTTAGTAGACTCTGACAGAACTAATTAAACAAAAAAATATTTACAACATTATTTACTTACCATAATTTAATGATTTATTTTTATTCTATAGGTATCTATGGATTATTCACTATCAAAACCAAATAGTTCATCAACTGATTTGGAAGTTAAAGATTGTGCTCCATTAATTTTAAAGTCCGATGAATGCTATCAGAGTTTTGCAGACCCCCCTTCTCCAACAATTACTTCTTGTGAAAATTTCACAACACCCTCTCCTCCAAAAGTCACTGCGATTCCAGAAGACATTCTCCAGGTCGTTTTCTAGGCTTTTTTCTTTCTAATGTTTTTAAAATTATGTATCTGTGTTAGAAAACTGAAATTGTATGTAAACTATCATATTTACCATCATGCCAAAGGGTGACTTTGGGTATTGAGAAAAACCTTAAGGCTTTCCTGAACCAGACAGCAGTTTCTAACTTGGTTTTAGCAATATTACCCTCCTGAGGTACTTTGTCTTGTAGTTTTTCTACAGTGTATTGTTTCTGTTAGTTTTTAATCTGTAGTTGCTGTATTTGCTATTGTCCCATTGAAAGTGAGAATGTCCTTTGCCCTATATTTTCCATAGCAGGCTCTCATTAATAACACGTGATGTATCTGCATTTCTCAACTGTCCATTTGCAGGCATTGATTCACATGGTATTAAAATATTTGTCTCTGTAGTGTGGCACCACCAACTAGTAGACACTACTAGAGGACTGGTCTGACTCTGATCTGGGTTATAGTGTTGGGCAGTTAATACTTAGGTGCAGAGAATTCCAAAGTGACTGCTCTAGAGCTGCTTTGCCTTATTGGGGTGCCATGAGAACACCCATGAAAGCCAGAACTGACTCACCCTGAAAGATCAACAAAGGATCTGTTCAATTTTGCCTTTTCTTAGAGATCTATTTTTAATTGTGTGTATAACGTAGGTGTGTCTGTGTATGAGTATGTATACCTGTGATCACAGGTTCCTGAGTAGTCAGTAGAGGGAGTCAGGTCTAGCGTTAGAGGCTATTGTGAGCTGACCAAAGTGGGAGCTGGGAACTGAACTCTGGTCCTCTGTAAGAGCTTAACTGCTGTCTCCAGTCCACCACCTGACTGCTTATTTCTTAGAAGATAAACAAAGTAGGTAAGGAACCATCTGTTTTTATGAGGGCACATGTGGAAGGTTACTATTTCCTGCTGTAAGGCTTCTTTCTATGTGAAGGTAAGGAAACCTTGTGTTTGTTTTGTTGGTTGCTTTTTTAAACAATGCTAGGGGTAAAACACTGGGACTTGTATATGGTATAGAAGCACTTTACCATTTTATTACATGCCCAGTCCCAAGGACACCTTACATTCAGTGTGCTACTTCTAGTTTTTCCTTTTCATGTTTTAAGTAGCAGATGTTCATTATATATAGGAACAGTTTTCATGGTGACACTTTCATACATTATACATAATATATTTTGCTCATATTTACAGACGTACACAAACACCCATTGCCTTCTCTTGTTCCACTCCTTCAGATCCCCTTTCCCGTCCCAACTAGCCCCCTCTATTTTTATGTTGAGAGAGGGACTCCAAATGAGAGATGAGCATGACTCAGGGTTTGTTTGAGTGGCTGTGCCAGTGGCGACAGGGCCTCACCCTCATTCACTGTGCCTGAGGAAGAGGTAGGGCCTGTGAGCCTCCCTGTCCGTGAGGGATGCTCATTTGCTGTCTTCACAGATGCACATACTCATAGCCGCCTGCATGTCCTCAGTGCAGTGGAGAGTCTTCCTGGCATTTTCTGCACCATCATCAAGACTTAACATGGCTCTCAGGATGTTTCCATTAACTTCAGTAAATGTGTATTTAGACTTTAGACATCAACCTTCCATATGGGGCCAGAGAGATGGCTCAGCGGTTAAGAGCACTGACTGTTCTTCCAGAGGTCCTGAGTTCAATTCCCAGCAACCACATGGTGGCTCACAACCATCTGTAATGAGATCTGATGCCCTTCTATGGTGTGTCTGAATACACATACATAAAATAAAAATAAACCTTAAAAAAAAAATCTTTAAAAAAAAAACTTCCATGTGAAGTTACAACTTTATTTTTTTACTGTTCAATGTCTGAACTGCTGGGTTTTTTAAAGTATTATAAGAAACCTTTTAAGCTCATGACTTTTCTTGAATGTTTTTAACACCTTCCAGATTTGTCATTCACATGATTTGATAAAAAGAAATCTGTTTTTGTTTTAGATGATAACAAAGCACAACTCAAACCTAGCTTTTCCCATGGATGTTAAAGCGATGCCACCGAGGAAAGGCTTCCTCAAGTACGAGGGGCGGAGCCCCAGCAGTACTGCCAACAAGGAAAACTGGAACCGGTGAGTACAGACCCTGCAGGTATTAGTAAGGCTTAACTAACCGCCAGGTTCCCGCACTAATGCCCGCAGGCCGCCTGGTCCCAGTTGGGTGTCCTCTGGGCTACTCTCTCTAGCTTGCCCCCGTAGTGACCAACCCTCTGGTTCACTCGTCCCTGGAGCCGCTAGTTCCTTCACAGCCATAACCACCCAGTTGTCTGCGGACCCACCTTCCAGTAACCCAGTAAATCAAAATTCTAGATCCTTAAAGTTAACCAGTGGATTTACACATATATATTTTTTTTCAGTAAAATCTCAATATACAAGATGTCCATACAATTCAGAAGGTCATCCCAATTACCCTAACCTTTAGACTTCATATCTATTTACTTGATGCCACGCAGATCCACATCCGCAGCCATTTCACCTCCCTGGCTCTCTCCTGAGTTTTTCCCTGTGTTCCTGTCTCTGCCACCCTTAGCTCTGCCTCCCTTTTTCCTGTCCAATCACAGGCCTCCTGCTGCAAATAGATTGGTCAGGGAAATTTCTGCCTCATGGCCTATGTTACCAGAGAAGTTTGACAAGTAGGGTGAGAGTGGTGGCGAGGTCCCTTTCCCTATGCAGTGCCATGAACCGGTAGCCCTGGGATCCCACATTCCCAGATTATAAATCTGCTTGTGTGATAATGGACCCACTCCCAACACCCTCCATTTCAAATTTAATTTTTTTTTAGATTTATTTATTTTTTTATATGAGTACACTGCAGCTAGAAAAGGGCATCGGATCCCATTACAGATGGTTGTGAGCCACCATGTGGTTGCTGGGATTTGAACTCAGGACCTCTGGCAGAGCAGTCAGTGTTCTTAACCGCTGAGCCATCTCTCTGGCCCTTAAATTTAATTTTTATTATCAATTCTTAAAATAATCTTACTGTATAGCTTTGCCTGACCTGGAACTTGCTACATAGACCAGGCTGGCCTCAGATCACAGAGGCCTGCCCGCTTGCTTTAGCAAATGTCCTCACCTAGCTTCTTTTTCTTTTATAGTGTGTGGGTGTCTAGAAGTATAAAATACGTAGCTACCATGTTGCCTTCTGTTCTGATGTCTCTTAGTTGTCCTTACCTGATTTTGTTTCTGTTTGTAGGAATTCTACTGTGGATCGATCCAATACAGAAGCTGGACAGAAACAGGAAAGTGAGCTGCACTAGAGTTGTCAGAACTGTCCCTGGTTAACACAGCAGTAGAGGTGGATGGAGGGCTCCTGCTGCCAGTCAGTCTGCGTTCCTCACAGCCTTTCTCTTTTATCTCATTCTCCAACTTCCATCTCCAGCTTGACCACCCAGCAGATCCTAAGTCTACCTGGAAGAATCTGAACACCTCTGAGCCAGAAGCCTTGGGAACATCTTGATTCTAGAACTATCTAATGGCCTTTGAGCCCAAAATCCTTCTGACCCAAGAACAACTAGAAAGTAATTCTCCAAGTTGATGACAGTGCTACGGGGAGAGCTCTGCTCTGCAGCCAGGCAGGGAGGGGGAACCTGCTGTTCTTGTACAGACCGGCTACAATTTTGAGAAATAATTGAAAAATACTAATTGACTTACTAGTTGTACGAATTTTTTTTTCCCAATACAGGTCTCTCTGTGTAGCCATGTCAGTCCAGAAACTCACTCTAGTCCAGGCTGGCCTCAAATTCAGAGATCCTCCTGTCTCTGCCTCTTGAGTCTAGGCTAAAGATGTGCACTACCATCATCCGGCAGCTTTAGGAAATTTTGTGTAGCATAAAGATTATTCTAATTGTGCATTGAAAATCAAGTGGAGGGCTGGAGAGATGGCTCAGTGGTTAAGAGCACTGGCTGCTCTTCCAGAGGTCCTGAGTTCAATTCCCAGCATCATATGGGGCTCACAACCATCTGTAATGGGATCTGATGCCCTCTTCTGTTGTGTCTAAAGACAACTACAGTATACTCATACACGTAAATTCTTTTAAAAAAATCAAGTGGAAAAATTCCAGGATAATTCTAAGTGCTTGTATTTTGTTGTTGTTGTTGTCCATAATGTAAAATAAATGATTTTCAGAGTAAAACTCTAGCCCACCTTTCATGTTGCCAACTATGAAATTTCTTTCAGCCCTTCCTTCTTACATGGCATTTGTAGTCAAAAGTCCACGTAACTGAATGATTCTGCTGTTGTAGATTGTAGCTGGGGAGATGGCTCAGGTTAAAAGCACTTGCTCTTGCTGAGAACCCAGTTTTGATTCCAGGTACCACGTGGTAGTTTGCAACTATCCATAGCTCCAGTTGCAAGGGATCTGATGCCCTCTTCTGACTTCCATGGGCACCAAGCACAGAGATGTGGTACACAATACTATATGCAGACAAAACACACATAAAAATATAGTGGGTAAATCTAATAAAAAGTTTTAGGGACCCAGGGAAGAGAATGTTTTAGGAAATGTTGAGAAAAAGGCTAGTATACACAAGGGGGAAGTGTTTCAGGCACAGTACCATTTCTTTCATGGCTGCTGAGAATTCAGAGACTTAGTTTTACTGTTAGATTTGCCAAAGGTGATGTTAATTTTAGACTTGAGGTTTGGGATGGACTGAAGGACAGAGGGAAGTAGAGGGCAGCTTTAGGCAGCCCTTTTGGGTTTTACTGAAGGGAAATGGATGGGGTGGTTGCTTGAGGCAAAGTCATCGGTGGACTTGGGCTTCAGCTCTGCTTGTTTTGACTTTGGCCCTTCAGGTTGTACAAAATTTGTTTCCCTGGCCTTCACCCTCAGCAGCACTATTCTAGTTTGTCACTTAGAATGATGATGCTTCTAGTTCACTATGGTCTTTCCAGGGAATTTTCCCACTGGTCTTATTGAGATCCATCTTTACTGAGGCCTAGGTGACTGCTCTCCTGCAGTGTGGTTTGTCCATGACAGTCTTCAGCATCCTGCCTTGGAACTTAACACACCGGCTGCTCTGCCTATTTTTTTCCTGCCTGCTCTTGCTTCATTCTCTCCCATCTTCAAGCAACTTACACCTGACATTGTTTGCACCTCTACACTTAAAAACTTACAACCCAGTTCTAGGCTCAACCAAGCAGCATTGCAGCCTCTAAGCATGCCAGTCAGTGCCAGCGCCTCTGGGAACCAGGGAGGAGAGTTTTCTTTTCTGAACATGCAGGGTACACCTGGGACACACCAAGACTGAGGTGAAACATCCACTGTGAGCTGGTCTCAGGAGAGCCGTGTCCTGCACTTTCCATAAAGTGATCATAAACCCTCATGCTTTAAGCTAGTTGTAGTTTTATTGTTACTGCAAACAAAACATCGAAAAGTATTAGAGGATGGATGGTTCAGGTCCCAGTACAGCTCTTGGGTGTTGTATTGTCTGTCATACCAAGTAGAACTTACCCTGTGTATCCAAGTTTAAATTCATGTTCATCTCCCAAGTGAGTTAGTTACCTGCTAGTAAGAGCAGTGAGCCTTTCTGTGGCCTCTGCCCTGGTCTCATGTTTACTGACCTAGTGATAGTGAGTTACTGAGATTTAACTGTTATGTGTGCTTCTAAATGCTGTGTTTATTAGCATATGCAGTTCTTACATTTGAGGTTAACTGGCACTTCATCTGAGGAAATTGAGCGTTAATGTTTTTTTTTCCCTTGTGTCCTATACTGTTTTGCAAAGCCCTGATGGTCTCTAAAATCTGGACGTCCTTTACTCAGTTCTCACCGTTACGTAATCTGACATTTCTCCCTCCTTACCATCAATCAGATCTTGCCAAAAGTTCATAGAGTTGGTGAGAAGCTGGAGTGTAGCTCAGTGGTAGTGCTTGCCTAATATGCAGGCCCTACATTTGATTAAAACCGCAGAAGTTGTTGGCATGGTGCTCCCTCTTGTGTCGAGTCCTTTATCTGGAGTAGCAATCTCACATTTTGGAGACAGACAAGCTCATACCATCTCCAGACTGTACCGTGTAGTTTCAGCAATTATCTTTTTCATGAAACTTGTCATAAGCATCTGCACATTCTTTTCATCCTTCCTGTAAGATATTTTTTAGAGGCTCTGATCTTTAAGTCCTTGGCACTTATCAGTGGTGAAAAGCTTGAGTGAAGTGAATCAGGAACACTGCAAGTTTCTCAAACTGAAAATTTTCCTTGCCAGGCAGTGGCGGTGCACACCTTCAATCCCAGCACTTGGGAGGCAGAGGCAGGTGGATTTCTGAGTTCGAGGCCAGCCTGGTCTACAAGGTGAGTTCCAGTCTCAAAAAAAAAAAAAAAAAAAAAAATCCTCAAAGTTCACATTTAAATTGTTTTAGTTGGGTACAACCAGACCTACAAGCCCAACAACAGGATGGTCAGGAATTCCAGGAGTATAGAAAAACTCTTTAAGTCACTGCACATAAAGTTTCCTTGGAAAGCAGCTGAATAGGGCTAGGACATGTGTACATATGGTACAGAGTAAAGGGACAGGCTTGTGTGTCCCACTTTGGAAACAACTAATGCTCACTGAAAACTCCCTGTGCACAAAGTTCTCCATTCCACTGACTCCCACACTTCGAAGAAGGCTATGCCACTGGGCAGGGTGGCACATGCCTTTAATTCCAGCACTGGGGAGGCAAGAGGCAGGTGATCTCTGAATTTAAGGCCTGCCTGGTCTACAGAGTTTCAGTTCTAGTACAGCCAGGGCTACAAAGAGAAATCTTGTCTTGAAAAAAATAAAAGGCCCTGCATATCACCATAGCACCTTTTTGGGTAATGGTTATGTAACATTCCCAGGCCAAAGATTTTTCCTTATTAATGTGACTTTTTAAGTGTTTAATATTAAAACTTTTCTATGGCCTAGACAGGGTCCTATCTTACATATACCTTTAATTCCAGTATAGAAAGAAAAGGCAGGTCAGAAATCTGAATTCTAGGCCAGCATGGTCTATAAAGTGGGAGACTCACTCACAAACAAGAGCACTTGTTCCCAGAATCCACATGGAGACTTACAACCAGTTGTAGTGCCAGTTCTGGGGGTCTGACAACACCTTCTGACCTCTGAAAGGACCATGCAGACATGGTGCACATATACATACACAGGCAAACACTTATAAACTAACAAGAAAAACCCAAAATGCACTTTGGGCCATTGAGACGGCTGTGAAGGGGTCTACTCTATCAAGCATGACAACCTGAGTTTCACCTTTGCGATTCCTGACCTCCATACTCCCCTTCCCCCAAAATAAATAAACATAATTTTACTTTGGTTATTCTTGGGTTTTAGCTTACTGCCCCTAGGAATTTGGCAGAAGAAAAGAATCCATGATTTTGTCCTCAGAGATGGTTGCCTGGTCAAGATTAAGCCTAATAGAATGTTTTCAGAAGTTTACTTGTCAACCCTAAGAAATCACAGCCATTGGCACATGTTTAAGTCAACAGACCAGATAGGCAGTCAGAGCAGGGTCAGTTGTTCCTAAGGCCATCGAGAGCTTATCAGCAGCCACACCTGGTAGTCACAGGAATCAGCCACTGGTGACACTGGCTCGGCGGGCCCTGTGCCCTGTGATGCACTACTCTACAGTCTACTGCAAAGCTTCAGCTTTCACAGCACTCAACAGGCTGTACTGCCACGCTCAGCTCAAGGCACACCCACAACCTAGGTGTGGATATCTTTCCTCCCTTCACTATATGCACACCTGGTGCCCAGAGGCAGAGTCGGGGTCAGATGCCTTAGGACTGGAGCTACAAAGAGTTGTGAGCCATCTGTCATACATGCTGGGAACAGACCTGGGTCCTCTGTGAGAACAAGTGTTCTTAACTTCTGAGCCATCTCTCCAGCCCCTGCCACCTACTTTATCTTGGGTCACCTAAGTGAGTCAAACGTTTCCAACACAAGATGGATCCTTCAACTTGACTTACTCACACAGGCCTATAGGGTAATCCCACAAACATAGTCACCATTTTATACAACCCCAAGGCTTTCTTATTTTGCCTCTTTAGGGCTTAAAATGCCCTCTACTGCTTAATAAAAAACCCTACATTTTCAGGTGAGACTCATCCCTCCATTAACTTTTACACCTGGACTGATTGAACACATGTATTTCACAGTACAGCTTTATACAGAATGCTAAGAGCACTTTTCTTCATATTTTACAGAAGGGCTTAAAACATAGGGACTTTCTTTAATATACCAAAGTACATCCAACTCTAATTCCTAAATAAATGTGTTACAATTTGTTGAAAATTTAAAGGCTTAATGGCAAAGTCCAGGGGAAGAAAGGATTAAGTAAGTTTATTTTACAAACTGGCTGAAAAATAACTTCAAGAAAGTCAATAGAATTCAGTACGGTCTCATCCTCCCTGACGAAGGCGGTGCCCGATTTGGAGGCGTGATGGCTATGTCCAGATAATCCCCTATTTGGAACTTCTGTGACTGCAGGGTCATGGAGTCATCAGTGCCCTTCCTGCCAGACATGGTGCTGCCAATCTCCTTAACTCTGCAGGAAAGAAAGCCAACGGTTAATGTACTAGAACTGCATCAACAGAACAACAGTACAGACTACAGAGAACACGAGACAATTTCCACATGACAAATTTCCAGAATTTAAGCAGTATATTCAAGTTAAGCCAGATCTGAATATAACCCTATAGACACCACTACTGCCACTGAAGACAGACACTAAAGGCATTATCCCAAGCCAGGCATCATGATGACATATGCTTATAATTCCAACACTGCTGCATCTTATCAGAAAGAGAATGTGCGTGTGCGTGTGTGTGTGTGTGTGTGTGTGTGTGTGTGTGTGTGTGTGTGTGTCTTGCTGGGGGAGCAGGGCCTGACTTGCAAAATGCAGACATAAAAGGAATTAAAGTAATAAGTCACCTACCGATATCCAGGTCTTTTAAGATCC